GTAAAACGCTTCTTTTTGGTGCGTTCTAGTTGTGCAAATTGGAATCACATGTAGTTTTTTACTCGATTTCTACAGCGCTTTGGCTACTAGTGCTATTCTTAGCTTTTTTCACTTGGTCTTGGCGAAAAGAACAAGAATAACAATTTCCCAGACATGCTACTTATTTCAAAACAAAATGGAGCCAAGACTCGGCTTGGCAAGTGTGACCATAAACAACATAATGAGCAATTAAACCACAGAGGAGGACTGCATGTTCCTTTATGGTGCAGGGAACCGAGTCCTTCGTAGTTATACAAATAAAATAAAAAAAACAGGGCACACAGTTTTATCTGTTTGCCCTCTTCTTCTGCTGTTGAAAAATGGCATTAAACGGACCCAGAGGGATTAGGAGGGGAATTTGGGCTTGTTAGGAAATATTAGAACAGCAGGAGAGTGCATAACTTAATAGTAAATATGTGGTTTTGTTAAAAATGGCAATGGGAGATGTGAACCATTTCAAAATAGAAGAAAAGACAGCCACTAACCAATTATATTCCAGAGTTTAATGGCAGATACATGCATTTTTTTTTTCAAAAGAGTCAATATAACAAAGTCTGTGCTTGATTCAAATTCAGCTTTATCAGCATATAAACCCAAAACCTCCCCATTAATTTTTATCTGCCAAAAATGAATGTCGTGGGAGCAGTTAAGTGTTAGTTTGTCCTGTAAATTAGCCAAGAAATTTATTCTTGAATTCAGTGTGGTCTTCACTTCTGAGAAAGTTTGCAGGCCTGGTTCTCCAGTGAGCGCTAAGTTATTTCTAGCTCAGGCAACACTTTTTTGGTCCCCTCTCTGCAGCTCTACAACCAAACCTCTTTTTTTCTCTTCGAGATGACCACTTTTTCTCCTCAGATTAACAGTACGAAGGTTCAGGATCTGGCTTGACTCTGTGTGGCTAACTGTTGTGATGACAAGTCCCAGCAGCCCTCAGGGACGAGGACAGACAGTCTTGACACACACCACGCCGCTGTGCCGCAGCACCTCAGAGGGTCGCAGTAATCCTACCGTATACCATTACACTCACTATAGACTAAACACAGGACCAGGTGAGGGAATGACATAGTGTGTAAGCATGACTTCTTTCCTTTTTTTTTTTCTTTTTTTTTGCTGAAGTAGTTCTGTCAAAGTCTGTGTACATGTGCGTGTGTGGGCCTGCTGGCCTGTCTCACCCCTGTGTCTCTGCTCCCCCTTTACATTCGTGGGGAACAACGGCGAGTGTGCGTGCGAGCATGCTTGTGTGTATGTCTTCATAATGCAGAACAGCCCCGGAAAAAAAAAAAAAAAAGTCACAGCCAGGAGGCCACTTTGAAATACCAGGTGCTCATTTGGCAAATCCAGGCAACTGGGGTGTTTACATTTCAGCGACTGAGAAGGGAAAAAGACCAGATGCTCGCCAGCGTCCATACAGAGATCACTCACATCGCCATGGGTGACAGACCTGGTTGTGTGCATGTGTGTGTGGGGGGGGTTGAGGTATATGGAGAGCGCTGGGCAAAGTCACTAAACACCTTCTGATGACTTGCAGCCGGGTGACATGATACAGTGCAACAATGCTGAAAATTAGCCACTTTGGGGAAGTTTGTTTGTTTGAATGGCACCAATTCTCCGTCCCCGCAAACCACATACACCTACAAACACACCTCAAAACACACACACACTCATGCCTCACAATCCTGTTTTTCTTTTCCCTTCTTATTACCCTGTTTTCCTTCATTCAAGATTTCTGAATAGCTCGATTGTCCCTCCCCATTGTTGACACGCTGTTTGCAAACGGCTCAAGTACTTCCTTATCAGTTAAGAAAACAACAGGGCATGAATGAGAGCGTGTAATGATGGGTTGGTGAACTGATACACACACCATGCGCACACACACATGTACGCACACAAACATGCCGCCACAAAGCACCTTATCCCGGCTGCCTGTGCAGACATTTTTATTGTTTCATTATGTCTACTATCAATTTACTGGCAGTAAATTCACTCTGTCGAGATAAAACATTGCCTGTCAATTTTCTTCACAGCACCTGCTCATAACAAATCACTGAGGCACTCCTTCTCACTGATTGCTTCTTGGCAAAGCACTTTAGTGTTGTCTGTTTGTATCAGCGGCGGGCATAAGGCGGCTGACTGGTGGTTACTGGGTGGTGTGTGTGGGTTGGTATTGGCAGAGCAACTGTTTCCTTTTGTGTGCGTGTTTGTGTGTGTGTGTGTTTATCAGTGCCGTGATGATGGGTGGAGCTGCTTTAGGGGAAAAAAGTCAGCACGATCACAACACGTCTCTCAATGTGTGCATGCAAGCGTACATACTTAGTGTCATTTAAATTGAATTATGTTTACATGATAGACTGCACCCGTGAGAAAACAGCCAGAATTCTTGTTTTGTGTTTTGTTCTGCATGCACGGCTTCTTCAAATTGAAAATTTGTTATTTCTGCTTTAATCTTTTCTCTGAGAGTCAACCTGTGTGTCATGTAAATGCCATCCGGGGAGTCGAAAATGGTTGAACACGGACACCTCCTGTGTGTTGCTGTCTGTCAAATGCTTGTTGGTTACAGTCATGTGTTTGTGTGTGTGCCTGCACAACTGCATGCATTCATTTCTCCAACCGTGTGCATACTGTGCAGCCTTGTCTGTGCGTGGCTGCGTGTTCTTGAATTACATATCCGTTTTACTGAATTACCTTCTCTGTCAGGCATGTTGCCGTTCCCTCAGTCTGGTTGTTACAGCATGCATGAGTGGATAAAGTGAGTGAGCGACAAGCTTTAACATATTTCCAAACCTCGTATTTAATCCATCACAAATAGCTTCAGCCGTCATTCATCTCTGAGCTTATTTTCTGTGTACTATGAAGACATGTAACAGAAATTCAAGCATCTTCAAATGCAGGAAACACGTCTTACTCAAAAAAATTACCCCTAAACATGAGATAAACAAACATTTCTTTAAACATAAGGTAATCAAATGTTGAATCAGCAACATCTCATGATTGCTGAACATCATCTGCAGTCAGTCCATGATTACTGCTTGCAGTGGTTGCTTCCTCTGATACCAGACTTAATAATATAGTGACTACATGTGAAACAATCCCTCTCTATCAATGGCAGGATAACCTGGTGTGAGTCATAAGTAGGTGAATTATTATGAGTTGCAGCCTAGCAGCGCTAGTTTCACTTGTTGCTGCAAAATATTCATGATGTAATCGTGTGTAAGCGCACGGACAAGTCAGAGCCCTGAAGCAAAACAATGGAGTAACTCTGCTTTGTTTGTCTGGAGTTTAGCTGAGGCCATGATGACTGTGAAACTGCAGGATGGGTATGAGTGTTTGTTTCATCTATGGCTAGACTTTCATGTGATAGGGTACTCGTGGGGGCCGTATTTACGCAAAAGCAGGAAAAGAAAAAAACTGCAGTTTTTACTGCAGTTAAGATGGAAAAGTCATACGAACATGAAACTGTGCTGCTGTTATAGCACTGGCACAAAAGATGAAAGATGGACCTTCAACTGCTGAAATTGTTCCCACATAGTTTTTGGACCTTTTATCTTACATTTACAGTAACATTGTTTCACTATTGCACGCTACAGGCTTTAATGTTGTATTTTACTGCACCATGGGAACTTAAAGGATTGAGTTTTGTTAATGTGATCCTTTATTTTCATCTTTAGCCTGTGAGGCACCTTTAAGAAAGGTCATCTCTGTTACTTTTCATGCAAAGAAAACTTGTGGGACTTGCAAATTTCTAATTAAGGACACTGAAAAAAGTTACTCATTATCTACGTATCTGAACAATAATAACTTGTCCTCCTTTATATGACAGTTGTGCTATCACACAAACTACTTCTTTTAAAATAAAACACGGCTGAAGGTTTTGGGAAAGAAAAAAGTAACCACTGAACATTAACAAACACGGATTTCGTTTTCAGTATTTTAAACAGCTGAAACCTTGCATAATAACTCCATAGCTATCCACAACATTATCATTTTATGCACTTATGAACTTAATTGACAGAGAAAGTTTGAGATATTTAGGTAAGCCAACCAAAACTATTCATTTAAATTTACCAAATAACTGTAAACTTAAAGCCCCTGTGAGGAACTTTTGGTTTGTGTCAACTTTGGCGCCCCCTGTGGACAAAACAGTCCTGTCAACCTTGTCCTTCACATTCCTGAGTATTATCTTTTGACAAAAAAAAAAAGGTAATTTTCTGACTTTGGACCATCAAATGAATCATTTATTGTAGATATTTCATTTGAAGCTTTAAATCCTCCTTTTGATAAAGTTTGATTTGGGAAGAAGACATACAGATAAATAAAACAACAATAATCAGGGTGATACCTTCTTTTTATAAACCACGCTCTGCAGGATGGAAAATAAAAAGTCCTTTCTCTCTGTTTTAGCACCAACATCTTTTACAGTAAATGCCACTCTTCTTTAATGTTTGTCTTTTATGTACTTTGCTGTTTACATGCTAACGAGTTTCACAGAGGATCTGGTCAGGATGTAGACTCCAGTAAACACACACGCAATGCCATGCTGGGTAATAAGCTCTTTGGTTTCATTACGCATACGCGAAGGTAATAAGGACATAGCATGCACCCACACACACGCACAGACCACCTCACACCCACACACACTGAGGTAATCAGGGCTTGGCTTGCACATATACGCACTCACAGACGTACACACTGAATGACTACAGTCTTACATTGTCTTGCCAAGTGTCTGCTCTCTCCCAACATGCCCAGCAGTCATAGCCAACTAACTTAAGTGATCAGCTGACGCGCTGAACTAGGCACCCGCTCTGTGAAGTGATCTTCATTCATTTCAAAGTATTTGCACATTTTTAAAGGATATGAAAGAGCCGTTTCACTTGTGAAGGCAGAGTCATTTGAGATGTTATTTACCAAAAATGTGGATGACATTCTCTATTGGATGTTCAGATCTTGAGGTGGTGGTGGTTAAGGCTTTCTGCTTCCCATTACACAGCTTTTGGGTCATGGCACGTCGTATACAAGTGCTGTGATCGTGCAAAGAGGGAGAGCGACCGGATGGGAACCATGTTGAATGGTAGCAAGCGCTAAACTCAAACCATGTGCTTTTGTGGTTTGAAACTTTGTCATGACTAACTACCTCTGGGAGAGCTGGAGTGGAGCTGGACATTGAGGGGGAAGAAAATCCGTTTTCACTTGACTGACAGTAACTAGACAGGGACGATTTGTTGTCATTTGATGCTCATAAAAAGCTAACACCCAAAGCTGTTGACCTCTGCTTCTTGCAGTGGCCTCATTTTCATCTTCCAGAAGGAAATATAGTATAGCAGCAACTGTGCTATCTCAGATTTTAATGCTCTATCAAATGGCAGAAAATTCCCGCAGGCCTGTAAAATAACTGAATTTCCTGGCTTGTTTTTCAGGGATGTTTACAGTGACCTCCTGTGACCCAAAGTATGGCGCATCTGCCACTGTTTGCCACTGCTGGCAACCCTCAGGGCCCAGAACTGCATGGAAGACTGCAGAGTGCAGCTGGACATGCTTAAGGTTCAAAGGTCAACCAAGGGTTTCTGGGTATGGAGGAAGAATGGCGCCCATGAGGGAGGCACAGTGTTGACATTGTGTTTGGACACTTTGAACAATGTTATCTCAGACAGTGTGGGGTTATGAGCCAATCAATCATTCTGTTATTGGACCGGCGGAGGTGATTATTCATCTGGGATCTTTGATATTGGCCGTCAAACAGTTCCAGCATGAGCCTCTTTTTCCATCACTGCAGGGATTTTGTTGCTGTTTTTTCCTCCCTCAAATTATTCAGTTTAAGTAAATTAGGTGCTTTTTTGACACAGACATGACAGAAATCCACTGCATTGATAGAAAAGCCAGACTTTTAATGACTTTTGTGCTGTTTTGCTGGCTTGAGCTGTGCTTGAGATATGTCAGGCTCAGCTGTGGATGTAAGGCGTATAAATCAGCACCGTAAAGGTGATGGCGCCTCCGGGCAGGTTGCACTACATTTACAATTGCAATGATGGTAGCAACACACAGAATACAGAGCTTTTCCATTGTACTAATGGGAAAAGCTCTGAAGCATACAGTAGTGTCATGCCAGCCAGCACACCTGCTCGAACTCCCCTCTATCTACTCAGCCACGCAGCCTGGACAAAATACTGTAACACAGAGAAAAGGGTTGTGGTGGCAGAGAGCAGGCAGAAAACATATGTTTAAGTGAGTTGGGTTTATATGATTGTACTGAAGTATGTTTGCTTTTCTGTGACTGGTGCTTTAGAGTTCAGATCATGTCCATTTTGGAAACCAGTTGATTAAAATTGATGATTAAAAAGGGGTAATGTGCTGCAACCGCCCTTAAAGATTTCCATTTGGAGAAACAGGCTTTGAATTTGGAACCCAACCAAGTCCAGAATGTAAACTCAAGTCCAGAGCTCTGGAAAGTGGTGTTTCAAGGCCTTCAGGGTGACAACTGAGCATAATCAGGATCAAACAAAACCCAGAAACAGCAGTATGTAGGTGATTTCTTTGATGTGTTTGGTTCTTTCTGGCACATAAGGCCCAAGCGCCTCTTCTGTCTAAGGCATGTCTTTGTCATTACTGTGTTAAAGTACTGGTAGAAGCTGCTGTTAAGTTCCTGGGTTCAGTAACATGAACAAAACTCCATTAGGGCTATAAAGACCTAGTCAACTGGTCGACTTATTGGTCGACCAAAACTGTGATTAGTCGACTCGATTTTTACTTAAAAGTTAAACTTCTGAAAACAGGGTTCCAGTTTTTTCATGTATAAGATAGTGCTTTTAATGAGGTGCTGCAGACTTACAATTATCTAAGCTTTTGGAAACATAAAATGTTGTTATTTGGAAGCAACTGAATTCTTTGTTTTTCTTCTCTTATTCACTCTGGAGGTTTTTCAATAACTTTCCATGTATCTGTTTATTTAGTCTGGTTAAAGCAGGTAAGGCAGTGTGAAAGCTCTTGTAAGGAACTTTAGTTTTGTGCCAATTTTGGCGCCCCCTGTGGACAAAGCAGACTTTTGACCATAAAACTCAATCTGCTGACTTTTGATGATCAATGTGCCGTTTAATGAAAATTTCATGTGGAAATTGTAAAACTGCTTTTAGAGCTGCCCGACTAACACCTACCCCCTCGCATCAGTTTCAGGCATCAAAATAAGAGTATAACTGATTATTGTTTTTTTTTTTGCTTTTGGATATCATGAGAAGACATTGTTTTGAACTTTAGTCTATAGAGGTCAAAAAACTTCTCATAGAAGCATTACAGTAACACAATGGGGTTACGTTTAGGTAGGGTGACAATATTCTGAATCCCCAAAAAGAGGACACAAGGGTGGAGACACGGGGTCGTGTGTGGTTAATTTTGAGAGTTTTCCATGTTGGAACTTTCATACACTAAACTTTCATACTAAACCCTGCTCGTTTAAAGGATTTTATAATCTTCCCCGGACAAAGGCGGTCAGCCCCCAAAAAGAGGGCATGTCTGTGTAAAAAATAGTACACATGGTCACCCCACGTTTAGGAGAGGCCTCTGTTGTGTTTACAAACTTCATGTTATGTTACAAGCTCCTCCTGAGCTCAGAAACTGAACCTGAGTTTAGAGCTGAAAGCAAATGTTATCACTCATCCACCAACTCGACCTCAACACCTCAAACTGTCTGTTTCTGTCCGTGTTTCTCTGAATAACCGTGACATATTGATGAGAGGTTATTTTGTCTCACCTTTTGTCCATGCAGCGTGTAATTTACGCACTCGGGCTGTTTGTCAGCCCTGCATGTGTGTGCCTGTGAGGCACGGCGATCCTCGCGCACGTATGACTGCGTCTATCTATGACTGCCTGTCTGTCTGCATGTCGACACAAAGGCGGTGGGGTCGAGGTGATGGGAGGGTGAGTCATAAATCTGCAGACGATCGTGGAGACAGTGAAGTATCTTTCTGGGTTAGGTAGAGAAGGTGCTGAAAAGTGAGAGGTGCTCACCACAGACAGACAGTAGCTGTTTGTGGCACAAGTTTGGGCTGTTGCTGGCGGAGGGGGGATGGCAAAGAGGTGCTGATTTACAGCAGGAGGACTGGAGCTGCAGGCTAGACTCTGGATATGGTGTTGTGTACGTGTGTGTGTGTGTGTGTGTAGGAGAGGGTGGATGATGGTGGTCTTGAGGGGGTTCTGTCAGGGCTGCATTTGTGATCCTGTGTTAAGTGCTCGGTCAGTGGTGAAGGCCTTCAGGATTAGACCCCAAAACCCCCTCCCCACCCCCAAAACTCTTGTAAACAGCCCCCCCTTTTCTCCTACACACACTCACACACATATACACACACCTCCTCTTAGCCTGGATTCCAGCTTTGAGCCCCTTGTGAGATTCTCCAGAGCCACCCACCTAACTCCTCCTACACTCGCACTACCAGTCCTCTTTGCCTGATCCCCCTCTCTTTCTCTCTCTCATGCGCACACACACACACCTACACGTAAAAGTGCGCACACACATGTCAAAAGACACTCGAACATAAGCAACAGCTCACTATTCCCTTAATATTACCGGAGTAAAGCGATCCCCTCACACTCACATCACATTAGTGCTGCTATTAGACCATACCCAGATATAAGAGCTACAGAGTTCGTGTGTGTGTGTGTGTGTGTGTGTGAGTGTGTGAAGTTCGCCAGAGTTTTATGCATGCTAGAGGGCTGATTGTGTATGTGTTTGCATCCAGGCTTGAGATTTGTGAGGGGAGGTAGGGTACGAGAAGTTCGGTGCGTGTCAGCCAGTGTCTACATTAGATTATAAGTGTATATGTGTGCGTTGGTGTGTGTGTGAGTCGATGTAATATGTTAACAGAGAGCAAGAGATGCTTAAATCTGGCATGGGATGAGTGGGAGGAAGGATGGATGAGGTTAGCGAGGGTCTGGCGAGGGCTCAGTAGGTGTAAGCTTGAGAAATTTCCATGTGGCAGTAAAATGTCTGCCACTTTACTTATTGAGTTTCAAATGCGGGCCAGGTGCTTCTCAGGAGTTTTAAATGGACCATTCTCTGAGACTGCAGACTGTGTGTGTATGTACATGTGAGTGTGTGTGTGTGTGTGTTTATTTTGAGTCGCTTTTGGAACAAATTGTGGACTCCAATCAAAATCAGCATCTGCTTGGGGACAAACTTGGCATCCGACAGTTGGTTTTAGGGCAGTTGTATTCATGGCACAGCTGAAATATCTTCTCGGGTTAGATTATAGGGTAAAGGTAAGGGCAATGGTCATGCTCAGGCATGTATTGGTTATGGGTAATAGTTACGCCAAGCCTTAAAGAAAATAATATAAACGCAATGCCTCCAGAAATAAGCTGCTGCTTGGTGTTTTCAGCACCAGTTTTCTTGCCTTTTACAATCATCCTACAACAACAAAGCTGTAGTTTTACTGCCGTCATTCACAGAAGGGAAAACTCTCAACCGTCAATCCAAACCCCAATGACACACACGATAAAATTTAGAAAAACAAACCTGCTCCATAAGTTTCGTGAAAACCAAAACCGTCCCTTTTAAGTACACAATTGTTGATTTATTAATGTGGACGTTCCATTCACTGGAAACAAAAATTCCCCCCCTCCTGTGTTGGTTTTATCCTGAGCTGGTATTGATGGTTTGACACACTTTCTACCTCACATCAGCAAACAGTTGGGGGTTCAAGGAGTCTCCGAGGCTTACCCCACTAATCTTTTGTTTACCATAGACCAAGATTTTTGCTTTCTGGAATAGACCTTCAGGGGTGTAACCGACCCCCAACAAAAACCCATGTTTTCTTTTCTGGACAAAGTTGATCTAAAGTCTCTCTAGCTCATTTCCTATGAAGAGCAGACTGACGCAGGTCTGGGTTTGGAACTAACAGGGGTGGCTGATGTGAACTCACTGTGTTTCTGGTTGCCCTTGTAATGGCGGACAGACAGGAAGGCAGGAGAGCCGGGCTGCAGTGGTTTTGGCAACAAATGAGACAGTCTGCTTTGAAGCCGCCCCGGATCCTCTTACCCTTGTCGCTTCACTTGTAAAGTCATTTTCCTGTTAAACGGGGTGTCCTTGTGGGAGAATTTTAAGAAAATCATGTGTTTGTTGAATTTTATTTAATGAGAAACGGCCCTGTTATATTTTAACTACCTCTCAGGAAGGCTTTGCACCTTTTTTTTGTCCGTGTATCTGGTATCCAGGATATTTTTAACACCTCAACACCAAAAAAGTGTCTATAGAGTTCCTTCTTTTACACAATAAATTAAATCCAACATTTATCTCACATAACAAGAAGTTTTTCATGGGAATTCTGATTTTATAATTAATTTGTTTTTGCCAACAGAAGGGGAACAAAATACTAAAAAAAAGCACAAGTGAGCTCATGTTTTTTAATGTTACATTTAATTTGTATAATTGAACAGCTATCATAGCAAAGCCAAAATAAAGTCCTGAATGGTGTTTTATTCTTGTTAGGATCAGTCTGTTTTCAGAGATCCCACATGCTGAGCTGCAGTAACAGCAAACAAAGGCAGAGATAGTCACCAGAGAAAAAAAAAAAACAGAAGATTACTATCAAAGGAAATTTCCAAAATGCACAATTAGTCTACAAAAAGACAATATTTCTTAATTAAACTCCTTTCTCATTATTGTTGTTCCCTCAGATAAATATCGCAGTAGTTTACCTCTTAAAGATTTTTTCTTGTGATCTTTAGAGTCGGTCTAAAAAACAGTGTATTTCTGTGTGAAAATTAAAGCCGGTTTAGTTTTCAGACACAAGGGAACACAATGTGACTGTGCAAATTTGACAAGCTGGCCCGTTACAATGGAAAGCTGGACAACTCCAAAGAGTTTTCATTCACATTCAGGAGTCCAAGTGTTTTTTTTATTTATATATTTTCATCAGCCAAGTTTTCAGTCAGGAGTTTAAACAAAGGGCAGCTCTGCAAGTGTTGGAGTTTTTCCCCTTTAATTGATTCCTGACATTTTGAAAACAGAATTACAACATTTAAATAACACCTTTTACAGACTCTTTCTATTTGACTTAAATATTTTGACAAGTACATCTGAACGGTGGTGACTTTAAAAACACTTTTCATGTTTCCAACCACATTAAAAAGAAACACGGGATCTTCTGTTTTATATTTAAGTTCTTACTAAAAAAAAAATAATAATCTGGTAAATCCAATTCACTTTTTATTCACTTACTTCCCAGCAAGTTTGAAAAGATTGAGCTACTAAAAATAGCAAGATTTGTTATCACTTTTACTCTAAATTACTGACAAAAACTGGCCAAAGATGATCTTTTCCTACAAACTGTATGAGAGTGCCACCGCTGACACATGAAGCAGAGAAACACAGCAGACACATTTGTCCGCTTTCACCTCTCAGGAAATGGCATCCAATCACCTTTCAACTTTACACTAACAGACATTTGGCTTCACTCCGACGTTTCACAGAGCTGGTTTCCTCTTACCACGAGTAAAACATTTCTTTATATTCCTGCAGAACAGGCGACAAATTCCACTGTGCTAAGCTAACTGTTATTCTCTGCATATACACAGAGAGAGTAAAGAGTAGAGCTGCTCCGACTCTATACTGCACATTCACTTTAATAACTTTATTTGAGGAGCTGTGCTCAGCTCCCTGCTTCTTTCTTATCTCCAAATACAGCAGTGAACACATCAATATTCAACATAATTAATAATGGAGTGGACTTCAGCTATGTAGCTCAGTGGTAATGCTGACTATGCCAAGATCAGCCCCTCAAAACTCTGCCATCCCTGTGGTGTCCGTGTTATATAGGAATTAAATGCATCACTGGGTTATTAGTTTATCAAGCTCAACAAGGTAGGTCAAACATTATGTAGGAGTGTAATGCAAATGTTAAAATGATGGATATGCTCCTTTTAAATGTAAGGTTGCTGAGTTACAGTGAGTGTTTGTTTTCTTTGGAGTTTATTTAATCCCTCATAGATTTTATTTGATTTACCAAAATGCAGTTTCAGATGATTTGGAGTAATTTAAGGACTCTCCCCTAAACTAAATGTGTGCAGACAATTTTGTAGGTTTGTTTGAGAATTAAAAAAAGTAACTCTTTTGAGCTACAATGTGAGATGGGATTGTGTTACATTTGTCTAACTTTGTTTTCCTCCTGTTTGGAGTCTAAAGCACTCACTGATACATGCAGCTAAAGGACAGAGAAGGGGAGGATTGCGGAGGAGGGCTGTAAAAGCCCGGTCGTGACCGATGCCCCCTTCTTTTACACATCCATAGAAAAAGGAAGGAAATGGCAGGTCTCTTATCTGTACAGAAGGGAAGAAATAGAAGGAGGGAACGATCACTGTCTACTGTCATTTTTTTTTTTATTTAGTTTTCGACTGAGTGAAACTACTCTGATGTTTTCCTCAAGTTTGTTTCAGCTCAGTTCAGTTTAATTCTCGATCATGTTTACTTCTTATTCAAGACAAAGACTGCAATCATTTTATGTAAAATTGTTCGTGCTGATTTCAATTTTTTACATTTCCTAATTGATCGCACTTGTGATGAGATTTCTCTTTTATTTTAAGCAGCAACTCAGCAGAAACCTCCTTCTTTCTTTGCATCCAAACTGTGGAACCCGCAGGGAGGCGCTGTGCGTCCATGCCTGCACATGAAAGACGAGAGCAGAGTGACACGCTGCACACAAGGATCAAGTATATGAATTTTCAAAAAACACCCAACCTTACCACCAGGCAAATGTTTGTAGCATGCAAGTTGTCAAAAATGCAAATTGGAAAAGGTTAAAGTTAAATATAGCAAAAACTGGATTTAGTCACAGAGCCGTTTTCAAGCATATTGAAGGAGGATCGTTTGGTATTCTGCACTGAGTCCATGTGGAGACGTATGAAAAAAATAAATAAAAATAATCCCTTAAAGTGCTGATATTACATACTGTACACAGCACTGTTTAAAATGACTATCCACTCTGATTTTAGTCATAGATCTCAGATCAAGTGATTGTCAAGGTAGACATTTTATTTTCAATGCAGCTGCTTTAGTCGTAACCCCTCCTCCTGCTGGTGCCCCCCGTCTCTCTCTCTCTCTCTCTCTCTCTCTCTCTCTCTCTCTCTCTCTCTCTCTCCGTTATTCCTGCACAGCCCTGCGCTTCATAGCAGTGCAGCACGAGCCGAGCGAGCTAAACAGACGGTTCACACGCAGCAGCCAAAGCTGATCAATTATTCGCTCAGGGAATAAATACCTACAAACCGCACGGCTCTTTCTTCATATACAAGGAATACCACTTGATCGTGGACGCATGTGAGCGCGCACATGCTTATCCGGGACTTAGCGCACCATGGTTCTGGTACAAGTGTCACTGCCTGTGCTCTCCTGACCACAGAGAAAGTCTTTGGATCTCCTCGAGAAGGCTCTTTCTTCTGTTTTTCAACCATAGTGGGAATACTCTCCGGATGGTGACCCCGGACTGGACTACCTGTTTTCAGCTGCTTCGCTCCATGCGAGGGGAAAGGACTGGGAGACTTGAGCGCGTTGCCTTCTGTCTGGCATAACAAGGCACGTTGGAGCTCACGCAAAAAGGGGAGAAGGGCTGACATATCCCCGCAGTTTCACGCATAAGGAGTGTTGTTTTTGCAGAACTATTACCTTTTACGCGTTTTGGTGAATGGGAGGTGAAGAATTCCTGGAGGTTTGACAGTCCGGGACTGGGACAAGGGGACCGGGACGGACTGAGTGCGTGGAGCGTCGGATCACCCCGGATTGTATTGCCTCCTCTACCTCTCCCTCTCGTGGGTCTATTTACATGTCCGACCTGAACGCTTTATGACAATGGATTACTTTCTGCTTTTATGCAGCCTCTTGCTGCCTGTGGTGTCCTCCGTTGAAGGTAAGACATTTCTTCTTTTGGTTTTCTTTGGCAGGGGGCTTGAAGCGTATTTTTCATGAGCCAGCACCCATGCCTGCCAGTCCTAGACTGGGCGCCACAGCGGGTGAGGCTCCTGTCTCCCAAAATTCTTCATTTTCTGTCTTCTTCGTATTAAAACCAGCGTTTCATTTCCAAAGTGGCCATCTGGCTTTTTAGGGATCTCTAATGGCATTACTGGCTTTACGCAGCCAGGCGCTGTAGCCGGAGCAGATTTCACTCCACGATTGTTATGCGCGTTAAGCAAAGCTCATCCATTTCAATAGTTGTGTATTCTTCTTTTTGTTGGAGAAGCTACTGCGGGGTGCTGCGGCTTTCTTCGTCACTTAGGGGGAAATTAGCTCCACACTGTAGCCCATCGGGGAGTCGCGGCTCCGAGACCCCCACCAGACACTTTCCCTCAGGTCGGCTGCGTGTATTTTAGTACTGTGTGAGTGCGTGGCCTTTTGACTTGTGGACCAACAATCTGAGGTCAAAGAAAACACTCGAAAAAGTTGTAAAAGTCTATTTTTGTGGACCTGAGAATTAGTCAAATCTGTTAAATGAATTTTAAATTGACCAAAAATTGAATGAAAAAGTGAAACAGAAATTGCAAATGTAAGAAAATACCAGCACTCTCATCAGTTTGGATTTCATCTTTATTCGTGTTGTCATTTTTTAAGTGGCATCGATTGAATGTTTACAGTGATATTTCATAGCAGTCCCTCCTAATAACAAAGCCATCTGTTCTAGCTAAGCGTGGATGTTTGCCGTGCGTAAAAATCGATGGGAAATTCTATCTCTCTTTGCTCGATTGCGAGGTACACTCTCTCTCTCTCTGTGTCTTATCCTCTATGTTGAAATTACAGTCTTCTCTGTATTCGGGGGAGATGAGAATAAACTGACAAGTGGAAATAAGGTTGAAAGGGGCCTAAAGCTTGACACTTTGAATACTGGAGCTCCGGCGAGGCTTGTGATGCCAGTAGGAAAGTAGGACAGTGGGCCAGTGGCTCAGTGAACGCCTTTCTCATTCGGTTTGTTTCTCGACCTGTCCTGTCTGTGTCTCAGGGGTTTTTACTGCCTGGGATTAACTGAAATGTGTCTGAAATAGATATCCATGATAGTTTTGACTTTTGTTTCAAATGTAACTGACGAACTAGTCATGTACAGTGTGCAAAATACAGTAGAAACGCTGCACGCCGAAACAACAAATGAACACAACGCCTTGTAAATAACACGATTTGCTTCTCTCCATTGCGATGCAGTGTAGTTAGACCTATAATCATTCAAAAGTAAAATTATGTTTTGCACTCGGTGTGACAGCAGTTATGAGTTTGATTTTCGGTTGCTTCTGTGCTCACTTTCCAGAGTCCTGACCCCCATATGATAAACATCCGCAGGCCTGTTCCAGTCTGTGCTGCAAGAGAGAAAAAAATAAAGATCCCACTGCTGCTTGAGCTCTTAATGAAAGCACAATTCTGCCGAAATTGCTTTTTACACCAAAGTGCTTCTTCTGCACAGAGCAGAGTGAAGCTTATCTGATCTGATTTACTGCTGTACTGGTAGGCTACATAAGGAACAGGGTGGTAGAAGACGGTCTGATAAGAGATGTGACTCTCTCGGCGAATAGAAACATCACTGAAACTTTTTATGTTGCTAAATTAAGTTCTGAATTCACAACCGTCTTAATTGGGGTGTTTAGAGCTGGCTTTAGTTATGTTTTTTATTACCTTCTCCTATGCAAAATTATTTTGAAACCCTAGTCCTTTATTTTGCTATGGACCCCCCCGGACCGCTCTCCGTGACCCCTGCAGGTCACCGGACCCCAGTTGGGAACACTGACTTAAAACACATGGCTTGAATGGATGAGTGGATTCTTGCTGTGCAGAAGTTTTGGGGGGCTCCAGTGGAAGATCCACGGAGAGAAAGAAGTGAACGAAAGAAAGAGAGAAACAGAGGGAGAGGTGGTGTTTTCCTGATGGTGGCGAGTTAGCTGCGCGCAAACCTGAAGTTGACGATTAGAACAAACTATTCATGCCATAAATTGTAACTGGTCGACCTATGTGGAGGTTTTACCAAAGCTTTTAATGCAGCCGGGTGATTTATGGTGCCTGCTGGAGCTTCTTTCTGGGTTTATGGAGATTTAGGGAGAAACACGCGGCCTGCTGGGGAAGTTTCCCCGGCCCCACCGTGCGTCTCTGCCCGGGTCCACGGGTCACAGCGCTCAGGGACAGCTTCTTAATGAATTCATGTTTTCTTTCCTTTTTTTTTTCCTCTCCCCTCTTTTTCGTATCTCCTTACTAGTTTCACATCCGCTCCTCAAACAGGACTACAGCAGTTTCAGCCAATCCTCAGTCGTGTATATTTAGCTTGCTTTTAATTATTTATTATTGGCCTATCGCATTCTCTCTTTAACACATCGCTGCAAAAAATAGTGCCGAAGAAAAAACTAAATATTTGACAAATTGTATCACAAACTGTAATCCAAAGTGGCTCAAATAAAGCCCATTAAAGGCTTTGTTGAACGTGATTTCTGTTTCAGTCGATGTTTAGTGGAAACTGATTAAAAAGATAAAGAAATATTAATACCACATCATCTAAATGTGTACATTTGACTCGCCAGGTGTGTTCAGGAGAGTCTGTTTTCAATTTAACTGTGTATTTTGTGTAAATGTGAACATGATCATGTATGATTGTGTATTTCTATGTCGTTTATTATGAAACGTGAATCAGGAGGTCAGAGTAAGGCCTCGCTGGGTTGTAAAAAGGCCGTGGCTGTTGAACTCCAGGCTGCTCTCAGAGTGCTGCAGGAGACAAATTGCGCCGATGACAGTCCTGTGTAGCGCACAGGCGCTGTGGTTAGTCCTGGGTGTAAATTACTGGTGATGAAGGGAGGAAGCACTGACTATATACATGAACACGGGCGCCAGTTATATCCAAGCCGGGTCAGGTTGGACGCGATTTCTCCAAATCTACTGTCTTATGTCCCCTTCTTTTGTCAATTAAATCACTTAAAATGATTTCTGCTCAATAAATTTTATATTTAGTTTATTTTGAAGCTTTTAGGGGATTTTCAGGCGCACAAGCTTTATTACTTTTCTCAGCTGGTCGAAGTTTGGCTCATTTAGAAAAAGTTTGGTGCGTATTTATTATGTCAAACACATCAACTCTGTAATGCTTGCACTCCAGCCAAAAGCCTAAACCTCTTACGACAACTTCCACTCCAACAACTCTCACCTGGAATAATTTTCAGTGTAACGAAGACAAATGGGCTTTTATGGTCAGAGCTCAGGGTTCCCCACTCTCTCTCTCTCTCCGTGCTCTTTTTTTTTCTATTTATGGCCGTGTGTGTGTGTGTGTTTGGTGGAGTGATTGCGCACAGGCAGTGCCTTTGAAGCGCACATGTTTATGTTTTTACGTGGGTGAGATCACACCTCCACAGGAGCTTTCCTGTGCCTGTTTGCAGTTGGCACATTTCTCCTCAAACCCTCTCCCGTGATTTATTCACCCTTGGTCCTTTTTATTCCCAAAGCCGAGGAGGTCCCTTGTCATCTTTATTATTTTATGACTAGTGTTACCGGACATTTGCCGCGAGGAAGCACAAACGGTCAGGGATTTAGACGTGTGTAGTGTTTTTCTCCAGTAGATGATCATTAGGGAAAATGACCTGACAAAGAAATTTGTCTTTATGTAAAAAAGTTAAGGCGAAGGCCGTACAAGACAAAGAGGATTCCCCACCTACAAATAAATATATAAATAAAAAGACGCTTTTTGCTGATATCTACAAATATGAAAGTTTAATTTAAGCAAACTTTAAGTGTGATGCTTTTTGCTTGAGATCATGGAAGAAAGTTTTTTGTTTAGGTCAACCGTATAAGTTAAAACAAATAACTTTTGTGACAAACTATCACTTCCTTTTAAAAAATGAATAGATAAATAAATGTAGGGCTGTGAGGGTTGCATCCTACCAAAACTCAAAAGAAGTTGAAGAAAAGTGCTAGAGGGGACCATACTCGCCGTCCGAAGGCATACGTGCGCCAGGTTGTATTTCAGTGTATGTCCGAGCAGGACTCACAGTGTGGCTGAAATGTCAGAGTCCACTCTAGGAGGTCTTCCGCACTACACTGAAAAGCTAACTACTGAGCAAATGTATTTGGAGTCACAATTGAGGAGACAAAAGGAACTATTAGTGAGCCTTTGGTGGCAATCACGCAGACCATTCAGGACCTGAGTGGAAACGCACTAAAGAGGCCTGGGAATAAATTAGCAAAATAAAAGCAGAGTCATTGTGGCTGTGACGCTAATTAATCATTCCTTAGGGTATTAGAAAGGTCAAAGAAATCTATCTATCTATCTATCTATCTATCTATCTATCTATCTATCTATCTATCTATCTATCTATCTATCTATCTATCTATCTATCTATCTATCTATCTATCTATCTATCTATCTATCTATCTATCTATCTATCTATCTATCTATCTATCTAAATTGGAAAAACTACACGTATTTCATGCACACACGATGTTTCACGTCAAAATGAACACTTGCTCAGACGCGCGTCCACGCACCGTCACACATCACACGTGTGTGGTAAAAATTGTCAATTGGTTCGTTTTCATTGATCGTAGGGATCAGCGCAGCTCAGCCTTTTAAAAGCGCAAAATCAGGTCTAAATCGCCAAACTGCCTCCTCCCTGTCTCCCTTTTAGAAGCAATTACCAATTCATAGGGATATCTATCAATACGTCCAAATCAATTGGCTGTGAGGAGAAGGTCTCCGGGCAGTGGTGCAGATTATCACGTATGTTGTACTGGGCATATACTGTGCAGATACACATAAATATGACATATATAAAACTATAAATTTATTATTATTATTATTATTATTATTATTATTATTATTATTATTATTATTATCCACAAAAGTAGTATAAAAACAGTGGTGGTAGTACATGTAACACAAAATAAATATACTTTTATTTCACATTATCCAAAATAAAAACAAAAAATACTTTTAAAATTTTTTAAAATAAATAAATAATAGTATAGTTGCGCTTGTACATTTTTGTAATAATAATGATTATTATTATCTAAGGGAGTATAAGACTAATTAATGCTGATGTCTTTGTTCTTTTCATGTCATGTTTATTAAAAAATGTATTTATTGATATTGAAATTAGTTATTTCAAACCCTTGTGTCTGTCATATTTTCAGATTTTACCCACTGTTTGTACTCTTATACTTCGAATCATTTATACTTGCCTAAATGGCATATTAATCGACAGTCACTAACAAGCCTAAGCTTTAAAAAGTATAAATAGATGAATACATGAATGACTAAATGTACGTGAGAGTAAACAATAGCACCAGTTTATAACCTCCAGCAGTCCTTTAGTAGACTGACCTCCTCTGACAGCCCAGTTAGTCTCTATAGGTCAACCGCTCGGCAGCAGCCATGTTGAACAGATGCACAGTGATTTAGGTTCAGACAGGCCTAAGGCGCTCAGGAAAAAGGGGAGCGGATGACAACGTGCTGGGAGTCGGGGTGGGATGGTATAGAGGAGGGGGTGAGGGGAGGCGGTGTGGTTGGGATATGGGGCAGATTTGGATCTGAAACCCAGGGTGAAGCAGAGCTAACAGACTTTACAGATGCAGTGGGCCTGCAGGAGCGCTCATGTGCACCCGCTGATGGTTCATGGCTCATATGGCGGCATGGAAAGATTCACCGAGTTGGAATTTCACATGAAGGCAGGCAACAGCCGTGTCCGGCCTGCTGGGGCCTTCACACACCAGGAAGTGGACTGAGCAGGATGACCAGTGGAAATAATGCAGAGGGGATGAAAATATGGATGCTGTAAAGTTTAGCTGGGATTCTGTGCCTCTTGAAAAAACAGTTTAGATAAAAAAAGAGACAAATATGACACAGGGGTGATGTCAAGCTGTGTCCGCTTAGCTGTGTTTGTTGAAGGCTTTACATTTAGCTGTCAGAGCTTACTAAACAGGATCCTCAGAGACGCAGAGTTAAAACAGCAGCCACATTATGCTGAGAGCATAAACGGCTATCATATAATATGATATGATATAATAGGGCTTGCCTTGTATAATCTGGATGAAAAGTAATAATAATAAGTAGGATAAAAACAACCAGTGTATTCATAACAATTTCCATGATTATAAAAGGTGTTATTCCGGTGCTAAAATGCTCCTTTTCATCTTTCATTTTTGTTCTCGCTGTTTCAAAGTTAAAGCTTCGTATTCCTGGAAAAAGTGGCAGTGGGCTGATGTCAACTATGTGGATATATTATTAAAGCTTCTTTGGACAATTTCCAAAGCTGTCCATGTATATGCAGCTAGTGTGTGTGTGTGTGTGTGTGTGCAGTCCATCCTGGCATCCGACAGAGGGGCCTTGTGGGATGGCAGGTTTTTGACACCCACTGTTGAGAGCAAGCAGAGGACGGGCGAATGTGTCTGGGCCTGCCCTGCTACACACACACACACACACACACACACTGCTGGCGACTGTAGTCAGTCAAGCAGAACACAGGGACACACACACGTACGCACACAGGCAGAAGGAGAGGAAGAGAGAGAGAGAGGGAGAGTTTTTGTGCTCACGAGGAGAGCAAGATGGGTGGTGTGAATCAGAGTTCGAACAATTGTGTACGTGTGTTTTTTAGGGTACAAGGCTGAGCTAGTGTTTGTGATGATTGTGTGTATTTCTTTGTGTTGATGTAAAGTGTGTCAAGGTAAACTTATTATATAAAAGTAATTATGACTGGATAAAAGGATGAATAATTTATATCCTTGAAACAAACTAAACTTTTGACTTAAAATCTTCCCTTTAAAGTTTTACTCACAGCCCAAACTATCAAATCAAATATAGATTTAATTATTCTTTTATAACTTTTTTTTTCCTTTCTGGGATTAAACAGTTTTTAAAAGTTGACTTGTACTGGTTTGAACTTGTCCAGAAGCTGTTGTTGTTAAGGGGGATGTTCTTCATCTGTGTTTCTTTATCAACTAAATCAAAAGTTCAAAATACAGATGAAGTTTTACATCCAGTTGATGCCCATCAGAGTTGGGTTTTTGTTGGCCCTGTCGCCATCTTATGTTCGTAAAGTGAAGCTGAAACTACTGTGTGTCAAAAATGTCCAGATTACAACTCAGTCAGAACCCGCTGCGCTTTTCGCCCACTCTCTGCCCACGTCATGTGATCCCGATCAGGAGGTCAAAGGGGGGTTTGTGCGGAAAGATCTCGGTACTGAGGGAGAGCCACTCCCCAAGGCTAGTCTTGTTCCTTCTCAACAATAGCTGTCCTAACACAATCAAGCTCCGGGGGTTATCCTTTTCCAGCAGCGAATAAAAATACATTGAAAGAGGATGTGTATATTTACAGAGACTGACTGTGCAACTTCGTTGACACATAAAAACTAACACAAACAGATCGGGTCTGAAGCACAGTGAGAGACTGGGTCAGAGGTGTGCGCTTGACTTCCTTTTCTCATCTTGAGCAGCTTGCATATCGGGGCAGGCGTGCCATTTGCATGCAGGGACCGGAGCGCTTATGAGAAATGACACGAGGCGGCCATTATGCTGCTCGTAACTCGGCTAGCTCAGGAGAGGCAGGGATATTCAAAGGAACGCAGGGTGGAGTTTAAGGGGGTGGACGTCTCCCGGCAGTAGTTTGATCCACCTCAGGGCCTCCTCCCACCACTTCTTTACGAGCTACAGACTCTTGTAACAAATTTTGCCGATGGAGCAGAAAGCGATCTTTGATATTTTTTCTTTAAAAAATAGCCAGCTACATCTGTCTGGAGGGTGGCTGCCGCTGTAAAACAGTTTGCCTTGAGGGGGGAAAAAAAAAGGCCACATAACCTGGTTTCAGCCTCTACCAGACTTGTTAAGTAGAAGAAGAAAAGACAGCTGGGGAAACTCTCTTTGTTGAGTTTAACGTAGCCTGGTGGTGGATGGTAGGCTTTGCTTTTGCTAATTTCCAAACAGAGGGCTAATCTCGTGTGTGATGATAAGAAAAGCTTCAAGGCAGAGGGTGAAGTCATGACCGATGCGATGGGCTCAAATGTCCATTGTAATAAACTGTAGTGCATGTGAGGGGCTTCAGCTGTGTGTATTTTACCTAGAGTGGGATCAGTGTGTGAATGTTTTAGTGCAGATTTGCGTGCAGTGCAGCAGAAGGCCGCTAGCACACCTTATCCTGCCCCACTTTTCCTCCTCTGTGTCAAAAACGCTCGCCACCTGCACTTCATCTACACTTCAAAAAGCCTCGCAGGCGAGAGGAGGACTCACCACATCTATTAAATATTTCTCTCTTTCCCTTTTTTGTCTTCTGAAGAACAGCAGCAGGTTTAACCAGACCCTTGCTCTCTTATCAACAGTGCACCAAATTCACTCTGAACATCTTAAACAAGCCCGGCTCTTCAGCACGGCCAACGCATTTCAGTGGCAGCAGCAGCACCAATCACATGTGACCTTTTGTCGGGATATTTACATAATCCCCATGGTTCCACGCTGCAGGCTCCTGGAGACACTGCCAGCTGTGGGGAGCATTTATTTAACCTCAGCTCAGGTTGAAACGCGGTGACAGTAACTTTTATGTTCAGCTGAGTGCAATATTACGATAGCGGAGTGGAGGAAGGTCAAAAACTGACTACGAAGGGGAGCATTTCATTGGGGTGGTTTAGCAAATGTGGAGGTGTCGCTCTGGGTGTTTTGTCCCTGAGATTACTCTAACACCTGTCCATTTGGTGGATGGCAGAGAGCTGTAAAGTGGTCTTTGTGAGTGTGAAGAAACACTTTGGTGTGTTTCAGTAGCAGACAGATGACGAGAGCGAGGCCACCCGGCAGCTTTGGTCAACAGAGCTGTGGTTTTAATCCTGTAAATCAACTATTCTCAATGTTACTTTGCCATTTTTTATAGTAAGATGTTATCAATTATCTTTTTTGGTAAAATTTTCTTGAATCTTTTTTTCTCCTCTCTGTCAAAATATTTTTGAAATGCTAAAAAGTTTTCTGAAAAATTGGATTTAAATTCAGTTTGTTCTCCAGTAGGACACAGAAATTGTTCGCTGTGATTTGACAAGCAACACTGTGAAAGACTAATTGCAATGAGCCAGATGAAAGCACCAGACAATATAGATCTGACCCCCTCCCTCTGTGCCAAGTCAGGCCATAAACAGCTTCCCTTTCCCCTCTCACACCCTATGGAAATCCCATCTGACCTCTCGACTCTCTCTCACACACACATACACATGAATGGTGACAGTTGCTTAATCATATGGCCATACACATGCATGCACACATTACCTCCGCCCAATACACAGGCACACAGGCACCCCACTGCAACATCGCACCCACCCGCTTCTTAGGGTCAGAGCCGGCGTCCATATCCACATCAACATCCAGTCGCTCCTCTGCTAATGAATCAATCAGCTGGTTCCATTCATTTCATCGCTGTCAAACCCCATCGATCAGCCCCTTTTCTCCACCGTCCCAACAGAGCAGCAGGGGAGCTGAAAGATCGAGAGGAGAAAGAAGGGGCTTGAAATATCCTGGCAGTTCAAAGACTCCTCATTTCTCATCCGCTTTGGTCCCCCAGAAATGTGGTGTTTTGATAGTGTGTAGCTGTGTGTATGTGTGTGTGTGTGTGTGAGAGAGTGTGAAATGAAAGAGAGAGGGGATTAAAAAAAGATCAAGAAGGGACGATGTCTTCTCCTAGAGTTTATACACGGTATCTGACCTTTCTTTTACCTTTGCGAGACTGGCGTGTTAGCACTGTGGAATCCATCATCATGGGAAGGATGGAGATTGCAGGTGGCAGATTTCAGCCAAGTGTAAGCTCATCTTCTTCCAGGGATGCCCTTTTTGTGCGCCATGAGGTATGAACCACCCCACCCTACTACTTGGCCATGTGAGCAATGTGCACGTTTGGTCCAACTCTCGCCATGCTTCAGTCTCTCTCCTACTGAGTCAAAGTCAGAGAGGTTATCAGCTAATAAAGCATCTCAGAGCTTTGTGAGAGGTAGGCCATGCAGAGTTGAGAGAGAGAGAGAGGTTAGAAAATCGGGTTTCCATTTTAGTTCCATTCATTGGCCAGTCATTTCATTTCAAAAGGTGTCAAGAGAGTCAACAGGAAGCAGAGGTCAGTCATGTTGGGGTTGAGGGAAAGAGAAGTAGGTTGTAAGACAGTCAGAGCTCTTTACTTGGACCCTTTCCATCAACCTATCGTGTGAACTTTCCTTTTCTCTCTACGCACCTGCCTCCCAGATACAAAGCTATGTCTGGGAACTGGTACCTTTCACTATTTTACATCTTAGGTCTTTATATCTTGCTCACACATAGTCTCACATTGCTCCCAGATGAGCGGTCTTGGCTTTGATGCAGCCTGGAAGGAATCTGCCAGCGGTTTTTAATGAATATGACAAGAAAGCCAGTGCCGATCAATTGAAACATCGTGTGACAATTTCAAGATGCAATCTTCGATAGTGTCAGAGTGGGTGAGTCGATGGCAGATGGAATGAAATAATCAGAGTTAGAAGAAAGGAGGGGGAATGAGTAAACACATTTCATTCAAGCTGTAATTGCAGCCTTACAGATAGCTGAGTATTGTTGTCTAATTACCTGCTCACAGTTAAATGTTTGAGGAATCTGAAGCCTTGTTAATCTTGGTTATCAACACGAACAAAAGCCTGGTGTCATTTGACTCAGACGGTCATTGATTTATATGGCCCTGTGTGTTTTATTTCCATTTGTGTGTAAGAAGTCTGAGGTTGTGTAATTACAGGTTTAGCACAGGTTAATAAGGTACCACCATATTGAAGGTCCCTGTAGGTATTGTTCCAGCCAGACAGCTTGGCGCTTTCCCCTCAAAGACGAGGAACCAAATGTTTCATGGCTTTCCACCAAAAAAGGTGGGTATAAAGAAAAATCCTCCCCAGACAAAGCCTTCTTTTATATGCTGTTTACCTTCCCTTTCTTCACCTCCCTGTCACTCTCTCTGGCCTTGTTCCTTTCCCAGCCTTGCTCTCAGCGTATGATCTCTTCAACCACCCTTTTAAACTGTCATTCCCGGCCTTTCTACTTTCATCCCATCCTTTTTGTCTGCCGTTCTGCCCTCTGCCCCTTTTAAGTTCCCTCTCTGCGACCCCGGCTTATCACAGTTACAGTAGTTCCTAATTGCAGTATTATTTTCCTTCCCCTGCTATCTCACGTCCTTGTGATATCAAAATCCCTTTCAGTAAGAGTAAGCAGCTGGGAGACAGATGCTATTTACTGCTCGAAGACCCTTTGTTGTTGCCAATGACTTGATAAGGTCTTGACTGTCAAGATGACTTTCCCTATTGTGTACGGAGAGAGGGAAGTCTGCACTTAAAAGGCATAGCTAATCTCCCCTCATTCCATTGGCTGAAATATTTCCTTACACGACAGTTCTGACATGCACTTTTCTTTCAAACTCTGCCATTGTTGCCCCGGGCTTTTTCTACCAAACAAGCTTTTTGACAGCTTGGACAATAAAAAAGATTAGCGCTGAAGGAACGCAGACAAAAAAAGAAAGACTATGGACTGTAACGCAATATGTTGCTCGAGGTGGCAGAGGGTGTCTAAGTGGGAGTTGCGTGAGGTGTCTGGGTTTTAAATACCTCAGCCAAACAGCTTAGAGTGTGAAAACAATCGGCTGAGACATGAAAGTGTGAGCAAGAACACACACACGGGGGGTCAGATAACCCCCGGCCAGATGGTGATGGTCAAGTGAGCCGGGGGGGGAAAGGTTGTGCTAGGGGCTGCAATTTTTATGCCACTAGTGTCAGAAAAGCGATACAAAAGCATTACCCCGTGAGCCACTTCTGGCCCCTGTAAACTCCCAGGGGTGCAGATATAAAAGGATGGCAATGATTAGAGATTCAATTTGGCTTGCCATCAATCAATGCCACCAAGATGGACAAGATTGCCGCCGATAGCCCATCCCTGCAACCAGATTGGGCTCATGCCTCTTGGGATTCACGCCCTTTTTTCACGCTTTGTTAATTAAGCGACCAAGCTGCCCCTACACTTACTTATTTATGAATCTTGGCTTCGACCGGTACTGGAGACCACTTGGTTTCCCCTAATTAGTCCCTCACTAATGGCTCAGCTTCCAGACAATCCATACAATCTCAATCCAGGCCGCCGACCCCCCGTTCTTTCTTTTGCACACATGGAACCATAACACCCACCTGACCTTGACGTTACACAACCCACGTCGTCTGGTGTTGTGTTTCTGTGGTACTGGATAAAGTACCCCACATGGGATAATGAGGCAACACTTAAAAAAATCAATTTCCATCTCCGTCTGTCTAAGTAATTCCTCACCTGTTCATTAACCCCCGGATAGGGCAGCCTGCATGTATTGAGCCCTGACAGTCATTACATATGGAAGAGAACCTGAAGGAACAGATCGAGGAGCTCGCTAGTGAAATATTAACACTTTCCCAGAGCAGCGTGGGTGTTGAAGAATTAACTCTGCTATGATTTATTGATATGTGTATCCTTCTGTTAATAAAGTCATTTATGAGACGGGGAAAAACAACAGATGTGTACGGGTGACTTCATGACTTCATAACACCTTTCTGAATGATGTATGCCACTTAACATCGCTGCTGCACCCACAGTCTTCCAATTACAGCAACTACCAATTGGTCCCTGCGAACACCCTGCCCAAAGGCCTTTTTTTCTCTTCCTTTCAATGAAGTCACTGCTCAGGGTCAGTAAGCCCATCCGTTGTGGCCTTGTGTGGTGTGGTTTGAATCCCATAAACACTGCACCCGAGTCAGATTTACTGGCCGGCAGCCCTGGGGATTCATTTGTATTCTACCCACTTTGGCTGGTTCAGGGTCAGGGCCGATGACTAATCAGGTCAGTGCTGATCCACACCCTGTGGTTGGAGCTTTACCAACCCCACCTAGCTCATTCGGACCACCAAGAGGTCTGGCTGGGGCATTTCTGCGTGAGCTGAAGGTAGATGGAAACAAACTTGATATTTTTGGAGCTTTCTGTTTCCAGTGTCACTGGTCCTTGTAGGAAAAACAAACCTGCACCTCGTTCTTGTTTATTCCCTTCAGACTGTATCGCCACGGGCCACAACACAACTAGACCCAGCTGAACACTTGTGTTAATGGGTGAGCTTAGGCATAAACATTGGGATCATTATTTTTTAACTAGCTAAGTTCGCCAGAGGCTGTGTTATAAGGAACACAATGGTGCAGGTGAGAGGGTGGGGAAAGTTCTTGTAGTGTGAGGAAAGTTAACCATTGTATCTGTTGGACTTCCCTGAAGGATCACAAGATCCCTCTGATTGTGTTTAATTGTGCGCGCCCATACATGTGCATTTATGATCCAAAGAGTGGACTCCTTTTGTTTCCCCTCATGTGTTCTCTGCTGAAGTCTATTCTGCAAGCTGCTGTAGTTAGGAAGGTAAAACAAAGAGCCAAAGTTAATGCTTAAAACGGGAAATGTCTAACCTTTGACCCCTTTATTCCTCTACTTTTAAATATTATTTTTCTCATTATCATTTCCTTCTTAACCTTTCACTTGTTTTCTAGGATGTCGTGCGTGTTAACACAGCTGCAGGTGTTTGCTGGTGATCATGTAGTTAGTATCCTAATCACACTTCTGATGCAATTCCCAAATGACCCTCTGTCCCCCTCCCCACGTGCACACACAGCTGTACACAAATAGACACCGTCCAAAAATGTAAATCTGTTTTCAAAACTGGGAGATGTTTGTGTGTTTGCCATAGGCATGCACTGTGTGTCAGCACATAAATCAATTGTTGCCTGGCGGCCTTGTGGCTGGAGCTGCATTTGGTGTGTGTCTGTGTGCTCATGTCCAGGTAGTAGTGATGTGGGGTGGGGGTAATTGGTGACACGGCTCCCTCCAAAGTGCCAGGTTTAGTTACACATCAATGGAGAGTGAATAATACATTAGCTAGGGTCGCCTATAGTCCTCCTAAGCAAAGACAGAGGGGCATAGAGGTAGACAGACGACAAAAGAGAAAAAGAAAAATCTCTATTCTTAGATTTTCTTGTGGGAAAAATACAAGAAAGGACAAAACTTTCACATGTGGGACCCCAGTTCCCCTCTTAATAATATTTGTAATCTGCCCCATTCAACCAAACCATCAAACCTCACCCCACTTCTCCCTTCTTGTTTAGATAGTGTCCCACTCCTCCTCCCTATAGTCCTGATGTACGACACGCTTCCTTTCCTCAGATTTATGCTGCTGTTCAGGTGCTTTAAGGACAACAGGTTACCTTCAGATGTAAGAGGAGACGAGGCATAAACACCGGGCCACTCAGGTGGCTCGGGTTTTGCAGGCTCGCTGGAGTCACTGAGAGTCCTTGAGCATAGATCGTTGATGCAAGTGGTTCTGTAATCATGGTGCAATTATTTAGACATCCATCTTACTGTGACGATGACAGGATGACTTTCTGTTTGTGTGTGTGTGTGTGTGTGTGTGATGGGGATGAGAGATAGCGCTCTCATTTTGTCTGTTTATGCCCGCCTGTCCTGGGTATGTCAGTGTGTGTGAGTCCTTGCCAGTCGAACTGTTTCAGCAGCACTTATGTGTGTCCATGTGTGTGCACTACTAACTGCCTCGTGGTTTACTCCATCCTTCTCTGGTGTTGCTGTCTGGGGCCTTCAGTGAAGCATTCCAATGCACAGAGGTCTTTATGTAATTGAAGTGAGCCTGTGAAGCCCCCCTGCCATATGGACCAAAGCAGCCTTGGACGTCTGTCTGTCTGTCTGTCCATCCATCAATTTCCTTTAATTGCCCAGAGCCAGGATTCTGTGCTGTGGCTATCTATCGAGTGGTTTCTCAATAGGTTAAATACATTAATATGTAATAAGGTTTGGGACCACCATAAATCCCTGACCATGAGAATGACCAGATAATGCTGAGCCAAGCTGAGGCCCCAGTGTATCTGCAACTCTCCCTTTGCTGTCATCGGCATTATCGTTACTTTATTAGCAGCTTCTTTGGTGGTTTATGATCATGAAATATCACTCTCAAAGCAAAGAAGATTTAAGTTAAAAAAAGGTGGTTCTGCCTCCCCCTTGTTTTGTTTTATGAGTTCACAATAAAAAGTACCAAACCGTGACCCACCAACGTTACTCTGGGTACGTCTTGTTGAAATTGTGGCAGTTGAACACAGTTTTGTATTGTTTTGCTGCGTAAATGTCATAAATTGAATTCCCCTCTGTACTGTAAAGTTATACAACCTGGATTCTGTGTGGCATAAAATGTGGAGTGTGTTTTGGAAGTTATAGGTTGCCAACCCTCACGGCAGTGATTTTGTTTATTACGGTGATTATACTAATGCCTTCCAAGAAAGGAAAAAAAAAGAAGAAAAACTAAACAAAACAAAAAACATGTCTCTAATTAATGAAAGTAATACCAAAACTACAGAAAATACCTCTCCCTCTCCTCAGCTTCCTGTTTCCTATAATTTGGATCATACGGCTGAAGTCACACGAAGGTTTTGTTGCATCTGTTGTCCTAATCCTGAACCTGATGTGTGCATTTTCTCTTATCATGTTTCACTGATGGCAATCAAGAAACTAGAGATTTCTCGACAGTAATCCTGAGCTTACAGTGTAATCAGCCACTCCACTGTACGATAAAGGGTTACAGTGAAATATTAATGTAAAAAAAGAGCAGATTAAAGCGTGTTTTGAGCTGTTTCTAAATGCTCCTGATGCATCCTGTCTCTCTCTTTCGGCTGGTTCATTACAGGCACTTTTGGCACTGGCTGCTAAGGAGGCAAAGTCCATTTGCTCAGAGGAGGTCTAACGTGTCAAGTTATTACATCAGCAGAGTGTGAGATTAATTAACTCGGCGGCGATTAAGAATGCAGGTCCGACGAGAGTCTCTGTGGCGGCGAGAGGGCTTAGACAGACACTAAGATAGTGTATATGAGGGAGAGCTCCCACTCCCAAACAGATCAACATGATTAATCACACACAGCCATTTGTAGCAGTGTGGCAGTAAGAAAACAGCCATAAATAATAATGAGCTCCCCACTGCATCTTTTACTCTGAAGGCAGGTTTATCTGCAACCACTTGCTTCAGAAGCCAAATAAAAGCCCAGTCCACAAATTAGATATAAAAACCTTTTTTTTTTTTAGTAGTAAATGCTGATCTGTTTGTCATCATCGACTGTTAACTAAAGTTCAGAGAGCAACGGATGTAAAAAAAGATCAAATTTAAATGAGATTGCATGCTGCTAAGTCACGCAAGAGAGCAGCGCTGCTGCGTGTGAGAAACTTTTAACTACTTCCCTCCAAAGTTTAAAGGACTGTTAGTTCGTTATAGCCTGTAAACACACACACACCAAAGAGAGATTAAAAAAAGAAAGCGTGGAATGGGAGCCGTAGTTGTATGTGTAAATGAGGGACCCTGTCAGAAAGTCGGGACAAAAAAGGCGCAGACAAGAAAGGGAAGGAAGGAAGGATTTGTGAGGGAAAGGAAAAAAGGACAAAACCAAGTGACCTGCCCAGTTTAGCATGCCCAGTGTTTGATAAACAGCATCTGTTGTGTGAGTGCATCCGGGCTATTGTTCCTGTTTGCGTCTCGTGTTTGCAATGTTGCATGCGACATTAGGGTTTTAATAGTTTTGCTAAAGTGCCACTCCCTGGATTCTTTGAGGGTTCAGCGACAGATTTATCTTTTGCTTTTTATGTGATCTTTGTCTGAACGGATTTGCGCGGCTCTACGAGAGAGGGTGTGAGCATGTGTGAGACGTCTCAGTCGCACAGGCCCGCAGAGCCCTGACCTGGCGGGCTGCATTCCTGACTCTAACTGCCCCAACCTCTCTTTTGTTCTGCGTGTCTTTGACCTGAATGGCTAATGACCAGGCAGGCAGGTAAACTGTAACAAGCCCTCTGTCTGCTTAACGAGCTGCTGTGAGAGGCAAAGCCTTCCCGCAGGGTTTGTATGTCACCTGGATCTCCTTATCCTTTCTTTTGAAAAGAGAGGAGGAGGAGGAGAGTGACGTGCGTGTGTAGTGGTGGAGGGTAGAGTATAATTACTCATCTACTAAAATTCCCATCTGCCTTTTTTTCACTCTTTCTTTTTTCTCACACTTTTCCCTTTTTTCTCCCTCATAGGTAAACGAGGGCATACCTGGGAAATTAACATGACTGGCGGTGATAATTGACTTGATAATTACCCTACAACATCTTCATAAATCATAAGTGGTTACTCGATGAGCCAAAAGACAGCTTTTACTACGTCTAGCCGGATATCGTGTTAATAGGGTAGTCCCCAGCTCCTATTTCAGTTTTGATTTTTATTTTGTTTACCCTGTGTGTTTCTAGTTTCCGAGGAGAAACAGCAAAGAAACAAGCAGACCTCAAAGACTTTGCTGCTTACCGCTGCAGTATTTTCTAAACTGTTTTAAAGTAATTGGAGGCCACTGGCATGCGGAAAATGTGGACCGCATTGGGGCTTTGCCCCTCACTGCAGTCACACAGACAGCTGTTCCGGGTGGAACAGGAAGTAGCCATCTTTAATTAGATTCAGTCCAATCATTACATGCAGCTCAGGAAGTGCGTTGTAAGGTGATCTGATATGTTGGCAGATGACTGTATTAGGAGAGACTGTATTAAGAGAAACAACGGCAGAGAGAGAGAGAGAGAGAGAGAGAGGGCATGTGTTTGTGAGAGAGAGACTCAGTGGCTATTGAAACAGAATGGCAAAGCTGGGTGCTAAGCCCTTTTCTTGTGGTGCTCAGCCATTCAAAAAGCCACGGCTTTTATTCAATGCCCGGTTCCAGCTCTTTCTAGGCTACACCCCCAGTGAACAAACAGGATTTGTGTGTGTTTGTGTGTGTGTGTTTGTCGGTTAGTGCATGATGCGTGTGTCCGAGTCTTGATAACATGTCTCATTTTCTATTCGTCTGTGTGTTGTTAGTGTTTGCATGATGTATCATGTATTATTAGCATGCATTAGCATTATGTAAGTGAGTACAGTACGGGTTTGTGTTCTCATGTGATTGACTTGTGTTTGTGGAGTCAGCCATTGCTGACACACAAAATCGCCTAAAACCTGCCATTAGTGCTGTGAGGTAACTGCACACACACACACAAACTGACTGCACAGGCAGCACAATAGCTCAGCCCCTATTGAACAAAAGAGTGTGTATGTGTGTGTGTGTGTGTGTTTGTGCATGTTTAGGCTTCTAGTGCCTCTGCAACATTCAGATAATCAGCAGCTTGCACCCGTAAGAGCAAATACTCATTCATTCACACAGGTGAGTGAGTGTGTGTGTGTGTGTGTGTGTGTGTGTGTGTGTGTGTGTGTGTGTGTGTGTGTGTGTGTGTGTGTGTGTGTGTGTAGTCGTGTAGTCGCACAAACATAATTCCCAGGACCAATGAGATGTTTCCATTGAAATTCACACACAGCTCCCGGAGGACAAGTTGTTGCTATCAGGTTTTCATATATTTGGTCTGGGAATCTGGGCTGCTGTCTACCATACAGTCTGCTGCCAGAAACAGAGAGGAGAGGAGAGGAAAGGAGAGGAGAGGAGAGACAAGGAGAGGAAAGGAGAGGAGCAGTGAAGTATATGATGCCCTGCTGGGCTGCAGAAAGGCAGCAAGTAAAACCAGTTCCCATCAGGCTGCACGTTAAACACAGACACTTCAGGCAGACATACTCACACACACACACACACACACACAGACATCTACACACACACACACACACACACACACAGACTCTGAAGGCCACTGCATGTCAGCATGCCAAAAACACAGTGGCAATGAAAGAAGCACAGGGGCTGCTGGGAATACAAGAGAGCGCGTACCAGCTCTCCATCCTCTCCTCTAGCTCCTTTTCTTTCTCCCCTGTGTTTGTTCCACCCTCCTGCTCCCCCTCTTTGTTACCTTACCGGCTCTTCTTGCCTTTCATTCTCATCTTTTTTCTATACTGTGCACCCCCCTCCTTCACTTAACCATCGTCTTTACTTCCACACTTCTTTCCTTGACTCTAAGTCTTCCCTTTTTTTGCTTTCTTCTTGTGCAGAAATCTACGGAGACTTAACAAGCAACGCCGGGATAAGTGAGTGTGTGCTGAATGACTTTTTTTTTCCAGTAGCCACACCCAAAGCTTGGGAATCTCTCCCTCTCACTCCTGTTTCTTTCTTTCCCTCTTTACCCGCCTCTCCCTCGCTTATCTTGTCACATAAACCGACATTGAGCAGCTCTTTCCTTTGTGTTGTGGCTGTATCACTCTGAGAATTAATGTGCTAAAAGGCAAAAAAAAAGATTTGGCACGTATTCTGCCATTTTCATGCGATTCAATCCACCATGCATGTCCCAACATTTTAATTTTAGCGTGGCATGGCATCAAGTCTCTGTATTATATGATATAACATGCTTTCTGTAGCCACAGATAGTCTCACAGAAAGTCAGAACAAAGAGGATGTGAAGAAATGTGACTGCAGTGGGGTCGATGGAGGTGAACTATGAGGGCAGATTGTTGGCTGTCACAACCCCATTGGCAGTCTTGACGTGCTAAATGTGACTTGGAAGAGGTTAGTGAGTCCTAACACTCACCTGTCACAATGTTAGCCTGCCCCGCTAATACCCCAAATCCCTCAGAGAGGCAGAGGCGCCAGGTGAATTTCTGCTCACAGACAGTCTCACAGAGAACCACAATCAAGGGATGCTTTTTCCCTTGAGGTTAGATAGACATATAGATAGACGAGTGGACATCATCTGTCAATCCTGTTTGCCTCTTCATTTCATTTAATTGATGATACTAACATTTAAATGAGATTGTTGACTATGAGTGAAGTTAATTTCAAGTCTAATTAAATCATGACGTATCTCTCTCTTATCTCATTTGACCTTTAAGGCTCTTCATATTCACTCTGCACCTTATCACACACGGTCCTTATCAGCGTTTAAAGCTACCAAGTGTTGTTTGTTCATTAGCCGTACCCACTAGTGAGTCATCACAGCAGTCTGCGGGTTCGGCCAGACAAAGCAGCAAATCAAAGAATATCGGCACTGATTTATCTGGCTGAGTAAATTACTCCGCCGCCCCCCGTTTTATTCCTTTTATTCCTCTCTCTTTGTAGATGAACATATAATGAGGCCATTGTTGAACATCACTAACAAGCCTCAAGTAAATGCCAAAGTACACAGAACTAGGAGGTGGGTATATAAAGAGACAATCATCAGTTTTAGAGGATGAGTTTTTAGTCATGGTGGCTGCTTTTTTGTGTGCGGTGTATTTAACAAAGGAGTATTATGGGATTCGATTCAATCGCAGTGTTTGCTATAACAGAAAGTCACATGTTGAAGACGTACAACAGTGGGCTTTTCTTTCCACTCTCTCTCCTTCAGTGCCCTCAAGCAAGGCTTCAAACCACAATCAAAGAGGTATTGCTAGAATAAATGACAAAGTTTTTATAGCGAATACTAAGAATAGATGCGGTTAAAAGCAAGGTAGCAGTGGATCTGACGGTGGAGGGTGTGTTTCCTGCCTCTTATTTTTCTACGTGCCGTTGAAATATTTTCATAGAAGTTGAAGATGTGGAATTTTCACCTTTGTCTGTTCGTGCGTACGCGGAGTGTGTTTGTTTGCCTTTCATCTGTGTGGCAGACTGGAAAATCAATCAAAGCATGCTGAGGTTGCAGTTACACTATATTGTGCTTTAAATATAAATCCTGCTCCAGGTATCGCTGTCCCCCCCGGGAAGTGTGAGGTGAAACGCAATGAAATCAACAGCTGTAGTGACACGCGGGCACACTCTATCATACACAAATACACACGCGGATAGACAGCCAAATTACTCTGTCTCAGTTTCTTTCTCGCTCTGACTAATGCAAACACTCACACACATGCACAAATACCCACAAAACTCGACAAGGAGATGTGTATTTTCATATGCAGATCCTTGGGGCAGAAGCAAACCTGCTCCTCGGTTGCTTGTTTGCATTTTTCAGTCGCAGTTGGCTGAGTCATTTACCCAGAAATCAGACGATGGTATCTCGGTGTGTCACGCAGAGGCACATGCTGCACAAGTCACCTCACGCCTGGATTCAGCACTTTAAATTATGACTGGAGTGTTATGCTTTAAGCAGTGTTGACTGTCAACAGACGACATTTTATTTAATTTAGGGAAAATATATATAACCGCAGACTGAATTATGAAATGTTGTAAAGCGTAGAGAAAAGGGTGTGGAGAATTTCCAGGAAGGGTTTTTAAGTGAAAAATCACTTCATTTATGCTAAAAGTTGAGGCAATAGTTTCCATGCAAGGTGATGTAAACATCCCGTGTCCCTGCAGAAATCTGGTTGTGTGCCCGTTTCCTGGCGGTGGTTAAACACAGGAACCCATGATGCCCTTAACATAATCAGTCACAAATGAGGAACATGCCTCGCCATCCTGGATTATAAGTGTTTAATATGGCAGCAAACCTTATAAAACCCTTTACGATAATAAAAGTTTAGATTATTACGTTTATTCGTTTTGGGTTTTTTTTAAACCCTTTCCAAAACGCAAATGAGGAAAGTTTTAGGTTATAGTGATAAAACTCTCATTTGTCGTAAATGAAGGTAGAATATTTCCATAGCCAATGATGTCAGGATCAAATGTTGCCCCATGCTTGGTTTTCCAGTAAGAGGTGAGTTAAAGCACCGGCAGCTCTAATTAGATTCCCCATGACAAGGCCAAACATCTCACTGTCGTAAATCAGCGGGGTCTGGGATGTCTCCTTCAGAGGATTATTTTGGTGGGGCACGAAACCCAGTAAACTTCATGTCACGCAGGGAGGCAGGACTGTAATAAAATGAAACAACGAGGTGGTTAGGACTTCTCAGATGAGAGCCCGAGCTCTGTTATTAGGCCGCAGCAGTCAGCACCAGCAGTTTTTTTTTTTTACATAAGCAGCACATGCACATGAAGATAGCTGCTGCTTAGGGAGAGGCATAAAGATAAATGTGGAATGTTCTGGGCGGTGAACAAAAGCTTTCAAATTCTCTTAGGAGAGCGAAATGTTAAGTGCAGCCCTCGCAGTATGGGAAGTGAAGCGGTAACTAAAAGGTTGGAGGTTCAAAGCTGTAGATCAAGTACTCAGCGGAAAACTCCCCGTCAGTCAGCTGTAAGTTAAATGGCGTGTCCAGGGCGATCTGCTGTGCTGTTAGTACATCAGCATTTGCATCTGAAGATGAACAATGACAGAAATTTGCTGATAGGCTTCAGGTACAGTCACAACAAAAAAAGACGACAATGCTGATAAAATGCCGACGCTTAACTATCCAGGATTCTCTCTAAACCTTTGCAGAATCCGAATTTTAAAGGTAATTGAAAGTGCTGGTGCCACAGTGTAAGTAGCCAATAAAACAAGCGCTAATGGCTCGCCCTCCAGCTGTGAATGTGTGTGTTTGTGTGTGCACATGTTATGTTGTCATTACTGTTGATGAAGGGCCTGCGACTTATTCAATAGCAACCGAAACACAGAGCCTTTCATTGAACCCGGGGGACAATACAAGCAGCTGTGAATGCACGGTCCCAGGCAGGGTTAGAGGTTGGCTGGTTAACTAGGAAGCTGGGAGAGAAAAGGGAGAGAATTCGCTCTTTCACATGCACATATGACACACACATGCTCAGAATGAGAAGGCAGAGAGACGATAGGGGGGCGCGTTGACAGTCTTCTTGCTTTAAAATCAAACGAAACTATCTGGTCGCTCAGTCTGGGAAAACATTGAAATGAGCTAAAATTCCAAAATGGCCGACTTGAGAGCAACTTATCCCAAGAGGCACATGACTAAGCCATGGTGACAACACCTCAAAGCAGGAGCTCCATTTTCAACAACTTGTATTTACACATGCACTGTTAGCTTAAACAGGCTCATGCATGCTTAACAGACCGATACATTTGACATACATACATATGTACACCCTCGGTGAAATGCACTAATGCTGACGCACATATTTACACACACGTTTAGAGGCACACCTGGTTTTTGTAGACAGCTGCCCTAAGGGCTACCTGTTCGTCAGATCCTCTGTGCTTTGTAATTAGGAGAGGTAGTGAGAGAAGGGGACAGGGAGGGGTAGAGAGAGAAGCAGACAGAACAAGAGGCAGGGGGTGGGGTAAAGACAAAAAAGCCTGTTCCATCAACTGCACAGGAACTAGACGAGACTTCATGAGCGCTTCCAAAAGGGCGATACTCCACGTGGCTGCAGTGGGCACACACCCAGGCTAACACACTTGCACATATATGTAATTTAAGAGAGCAGCTGCTTTCACATTGTCCTCTTTTTTTGTCATCAAAGCTCTTAATGTTTTCATTCGAACTGCTTTCAACTCCTTTAAAGCCTTTGACCGAGAACAAAAAACTTTCTTGTGTTTGTTTTTGTTTATTTATCACAAGTCAGCGCCGTCGGGTTCGAGCTGCTTGTCTCCAATTGCCTCCTCGGATGCGAAAAGTTTGCGAGCAGACGGACAATAAAAAAGACACGCTGCTAGATCCCAAATAGTATTCAGCCCTTAGGTGTCTTTTGACGAGGAGAAAATAATTGAGGGCAGGAGGGCAGTGACAAACGCAGAGAGCAAAGACTAGCATTCATTAGACTTCCCTATTGGGAGAGATGATGAGTAAGAGTAAAGGAGGGGGAGTCTTGAGGGGAAAAAAGGCATGGGTCAAGAAGAGGGAGGCAGAAAGGTAGAAAGAGAGCTTATTTCTTAAGCATCCACGATACAGCCCTGCTAGCACACACACAAAACACAGGACAAACCTCTTGTGTGACAGCCATTGTAGGATGACTGACAGTGAGTGGTAGCGGGTGAAGTATGCGTGTGTATGTGTGTGTGCTGAAGGGGAGGGGGTCTGTCATGGGAGGCCAGTCCGTTTAGGAATTCCAGAGAGGAATCACCTCCTTGGCCTGTCCATGTCGCAGCAACCAATTACCGTGACTGCGAGAGTGTGTGTGTGTGTGTGTGTGTGTGTGTGTATGTGAGGATGTGTGTGTGTGTGTGGGTGCTGAAGGGGAGGTCTCGCCATAAAATGGAGGGGACTTCTCCTAATCATGGCACCGTGGCCCCGCACAAAGGCAAAAAGGCTGCTCGGACGATTTGAATTTGAATAGCATCTCTCCTCCTTCACCTCTTTTTTCTCCTGCCTCTCTCGTCTTCCTCTTTCTCTTCCTCCGCTTCACGCTAGATGACAAAAGCGGAGCCAACAAAGCTAGCGCACAAAGCAATCAGGCTAATAGCGCTAATAAGTTGAGCGTGGGGTCCTCGCTCTCAGTGTTGACACATTTCACTGTTTTCTGTGGCTAAACAGAGGCTCAAGTGTTTGGCAACCAGGCGGCATAGTATTTTAATGGAGTGGCTACCCCATGCCAGGTTGCCATGTGCTCAGTCTGTTTGACTGTAGAAGAAAACAACAAAAGCAGCTCTGAAAAAAAAGAGGTGGGGAGAAGATAATTAACTAGCAGAGAAGCCAGAAGGGAAGGATTTTGGTGAAGGAGTCACAAGGGAAGTTTAGTTTTTTCACGATTTTTCTTGTTGAAAAATTATACAGCAGCTAATGCTAGCATGGAGAGACGCCATTTTGTTTTGAAATTAAGCTAGGTAAAAATGTCCCTCTCTTTAACAATCATGTCTTCAAGGTTGTCCAGACATATCTTTTCGCTCCCCAAGGCTTGGGTTCAGAAATCTTTCAGTTGTCATCTGACGGGGTCACGCTAACAAAGACGGGCATGCTAAAAAGCTCAAAGCAGTCGCGGTGAGATCCAAGCTAAATCCCTCACCTGTCTGCTCCTCGCAACCCAAGGACTTAGCCCTGTGAAACAACTACACATTCCTCTCCCTCAATAATAGCCTTTCTTCCCCTTTCCTCTTTCTGTCCTCTTTTTTTTTCTTTTCTTTTAAGAAGTCTGCTTGTTTGAACAAAGAAATATTTTAAGAGGCTTGTAACTCTGCTGTGTGTGTGTGCATGTGAGTGTGTGTGTGTGTGTTACATGCGGCCATAGGGACGAATGCTTCAGTGCCCTCCCCTGTTATTAGGCCTGCTCTGTCATTACAGGATTAGAGCGTAGAGGTTGGCTTTTCGTGTATGAGTGTATTCATGTGTGTATGTGTGCGTACACATGTATTTGCCTGCGTATGATCTCCCTGAGCTTGTTTGTATTCCCGTAATTTTTATCACACAATCAGACTTGGCGGAGAAACCAAATGTCACTGACATTTCCCACCCGGCATTTTGTGATGCTGATCCCAGGTGCATTTGACCTGTATCATAAATAACACTACACTAGCAGCTTACTCGAACAGTGACTCTCTAATTGAACAGTCTTCGTGAGCTGTAGGAGGTTGAAAAACATTCCTCTTTACGCCGCTCATCACATCCATCACAGCACAGCATGAAAACAAGAGTTCAGATAGTATAGACATCAGCAAGAAAAAACAAGGAAGAGAAAGAGCAAAGAGGGATGAAAACAGGTCAAACCTTTCACTTCACTGTAAAGAAAAGAGAGAAAACAAGTGCAGGGTTATATCAAAAAAATTGGAGTAATAAGTCTTATCATTTGTGTCCTCATGTAGTGCAAAAGTCCAATTCCTGCAAACTTCCCTCTGCGTGTGTGTGTTTTAAGGTTTACGATTTGCATGCTCATTTGCCTGATTTACTTTGTTCTTTTTTTCCTCATCCAATCTTTCCCACTGTCATTTTACACTTCCAGCATTTGAATGAAAGTAAACGTAAAAAGCTGAAAGGCAAACAAGACCAGCTACCGCGCACAGGGGAGGGTCTTGTAGTCACACAGTTGTTGTTTCTCCCTCAACTCGTCCGTCTGGTTTCCCTTCAGCCTATTTTTATTTCTCTCTCTCTTTCACAACCTGGCCCATTAGGCAAGCCGCCAGCACGGTCTTACCCGCTTTAGGTGTTTGTTGCTTTTAAAAATACCTTTCTCCCTTTAATCTGTCTTACTTTGCCTCTGTCATCTTGCATCGCGTACAGAGCGTGAGTTTGGCGTTCGAAAAATGGCTGCTTTGTGCGTGGGTACATAGCTCTTTATTATCCGGTTTGTTTTGTTTTCCTCTATGTGTGTAGGTGTATGTGTTTACTGTTTGTGACTTTGCAGGTGTCTGAATTTGCTTGTAAGTCATTTATATTGCCAACGGTCTCTATTACCTGATGTGTTATTCAAAAATGACGCTCACAGACAGAGAGGGAGCGCCTGGGTGAGGTCAGGGTCAGTCAGTGCTTTTGCTTTGGCCCATTGACTCAGGATTGGTGCTCCACTTTGGGCACAATACAGGGCTTTGCACAATACATACACACACTCATGTAGAGGTGAAACAATACAGATGCAACCAGAAGGGAAGGGTTACTGCTAAACATTGGCTCCCAAATGACCCACTGTTCAAACCCCTGAGTCAGACCATCACGCTGTATGTGTTGTTGCATATCTGTCTTTCTGCTCCCCAGCTCTCGTTCTTTCTCTCTCATCTCTGTCACCCCCCTCCCCTCTTCCTCTGTCTTTGACTCCCCCCCTCCGCCTCCCCTCGGTCTGTCATTGTGTTTCACCGTGTTGTCATTTTCAGCAAGGTCAGCTCTAATGACAAGCCGACAAAACCAGCCGAACACACAGCCCAGTCATAACAATAAACAGCAGGCAGTGGAGGTGTATCATTTTCACACCAGACCGGCTTACCTGCCTGCGTAGCTGTAGGTAACAGGTCCCAAATCACACACTGTCACCGTATGAGTCAGGGGAAGTCCCGCAGCTAATATACACTGACACAGTTTCAGAGATGAAATCACAAAGTAGGCCTTTATTTGTTCATGTGACAGATACGGCTTATTGCAAAAGGAGTATTTGGCAAAAGGAGACCATGTTCCTGATGTCTTTACAAGCCTGTCCTCTGTCAGCACACAGAAAAATATTGGACAATGACAGGAGAAAAAGGGTAAAAAAGAAGTGTTTGTGACAAAGGTTGTGAGGTGGATTTGACCCCCAGCTGCTCGGAGTACACAATATTCACTTTATTTTGCAGAGCCACTCCCAGAGAGACAGGTCTCACTGCATGAACTGACTCACACTGAAGCTTCCAGACCATTCCGCCTCAGGGCAACAAGCCAAAGCTACATTTGAAATCTGATTGTATGTGATCTTTTCTTTTTTTTTTCACTCAAAAGATGTCTCCCATTGGCTGGAACTCCCTTGAAAGTCATGTTTTCTCAACAGTGCAGGAGGCACGCAGAGACAGTGTCACTCAAAGCACAAGGGGGTTGGTATTCAGTGGGAATTTCCAGCCATAGCAGAAGCACGCCGCCTCTACGGAGATAGACATAACTCACAAGGGGTCTTTGGGTTTTTTTGCCGCCGCTGATACTCCTGACTGCAGCAGCCGGTATTTGTGAGAGGGATAGTAAAAATCCTCAGGTTTACTCTTTTATTTTGCTCTCCAGTCCTGTTTCCTGTCAGCTTACCCAGATTTTTTTGGGAGATGAAAGAGAAAGACAGAGGCAGGGGAAACCTCAGAGATGGTGGCGAAGTAGCACAGTGAGCTGAGAGACTAAATCGGTTCATCCCCGGCAACTGTAGCGGGAAAAATGGAACATCTCGCACTCCTTCCACGACTAGGGACAGTGCAGCAGGCTCACTCCCTGGCAGTGCCCGTTTCATCATCTTTTACTATCTTGTAGAACAGCACAGCGGTTGAGATAATAACGGTGGCTGCGTACTATGCCTTGAGCGCCAGGTAGTAAAAGACTCAACATTTATAGTCTTCCTACCCTGCTCTCTCACAAAGAACGCCGCCTTTGCCAGTAGAAACAAGAGAGTGGAAAGTGAGGAGGAGTAAAGGGATTTGCAGGAGAGATCTTTGTCCACCATTTTGTCGGTGCTTTTTTCTCCGTGTGTGCAAAGACATAAAGAGAGAGGAAAGATAAATTTGAAGTGTGTATGTGCTCAGGTATTGACACAAAGTGAAACCAATTGAATTGTATTGACCTCTGTTCCGCTCAAGAGTGCCTCCTTTGTGACACTAACTTTATAACCCCCCCTCTCCATTCAGGCCTTCTGTTGGGTTGTATATCTCCTTGAGTTTTACAACCTGTTACTTGCAGCATGTGTGTGTGCGTGCTATCAATTGAGTGTGTGTCCTGCAGCGCCCTGCTGGAAGCGGAACCGTTCCCCAGCGAGACCAAGACTGTTGTTTCCTTTCCCCCCTGCATAAAAGCAAACGTCTAATTGAGACTAATTAGCCAAACAAGAAGCTGCTATAAAATGTCACACGATTCCTCACGGATCACCCACCTAGAGCTCGGTCTCTCTCTCTCTCTCCCACTCTCTTCCTCCTTTGACACGCAGACACACAGTTCTTTGTCTAATTGTATCTTACATTGCCTCTCAGCCCGCGCTTTTCTGTCACTGACTCATTCAGCGTGTTATCTGATAACAACTTTGGTGAAATCTACTTCGGCTTGTCGGCCAAACAACTTTTATGACACTGTTGTAAAACTATTGAGAGCTCTATTGATCTCCTCTACCGGCCTGTTTGCTTTTTCTGACCTGCTTGTTTTCTCTCTGCTTCCGTTTACAGAGACGCTGATGGACACGAAGTGGGCCACGACAGAATTAGCCTGGACTGCACACCCTGAGACTGGGGTAAGTGTATGCCTGCTTTTGTGTGATATCGTGGGGTAAGCCTGATTGAAAAACAAGCAATCCGAACATAAATACATCAGATTTTTTGCACGCAAGTTATCCACATGTAGGGCTGGGCGATAAAACAATAACGATATAACTTGAAAATTAATTTCCCTCAATATCAATATAAACCATGGTCAATGTGCTTTTTGATAGTCAGCATTCTGACATGTTTTGGAAGACTGTACGAATAGCCAATGAAAAGGGGAGTTGCTCTGGGTCCACTGAATCAATCGTGCTAAATGATAGCACTATAACACGTGAAGCCGACAGCACTGTCAGTATGAAAAAAAAGAAAATGAGTGCTATCCCCGGCAGAAATGCAGATGAAGGCTCGACAGATGACGACATTGTCGACAACACTGGCATGAAAACGTTGGTGGTATGGAGGTATTTTGAGGTCGGACATGAAGCAGAGTAATGTGCACTGCAAAGTATGTCGAGTTCATGTTCTCACAAAGTCGGGGAATACCTCCAATCTTTTTCACCACCTGAAGCAGCGCCATGTGGCAGAGCATGCGCAATGCAAAAAGTTTCAAACCCCGAGCAGAGCAAGGAGCCCATGATGCCTATGCAGCCGAAACAACCGAAACATTCAGTTCACTTTCTCTAACGCAACGCCTTACGACAAAACATCGAAGAGACACAAAGACCTCACAGATGCAGTAACTTATTGTATTGCAAAAGACATGCTACCAATAAGCTATAAGTTCAGTTTCTTTTTTTTATATCGTGATATGTATCGATGTCGACTGGTATGAAAAAAATACATTCATCCACATGTACTTATGTCTAAATAGCTTTTTTGACTCTGTACTTTTCTAAGAGGGTATTCATTGCAGGGCGGTGTCTTTTTTTAAAATTGAACAGTCCCTTACACCATCACCAGCAAGTCACTCGACAGGATACGTTTTAAGATTCAACAGGATGCGCTTTTTAGTAGCAGAAAAAGATACACTGCAATCCAATTTCACCGACCCGCCCAGTCACAGATGTTCCCCTCCTTTTGCCTGAGTGCACTAAAAACATGTGAACGCCATCAGTTTCCTCATGAACTAATCCTTTTAAACTCTAAGATATTTCTCAGTGTTGACCTATTGCACGTCCAGGCATCCAAATCTACCGCACACAAAGTGCCAGTGACAGCCTCATCTTGCTTTCCCATGTGGTCCCACAAAGGCCTAAAGAGGAGTAAAAAGAGTCTTGACCCCTCCTCAAATAGACTTCAAAGACCCCCAGCTCTCCTCCCCTTGCTTTTGTGTGGCCCTCTGACTTGGCCCTTCTGTTTTGGAAGGTTGGCCCCCATTTTTTATATTTTGTTTTTTCCCCAAACGCCCTGACCGGGAGATTCCACCCCAGCTGTTCGTAAGTCGCCCTCCCTGTCTATTCCCCTCTTCTTTTATTTCCAAGCAACTAAGCACTAATGAAGCCAGACACACAAGACACCTCAGCTGCAACGCACAGTAGTTCAAACCCCCTCACAGCCTTCTGTGCCCTTTTTCCCCCTTGTGCGATTCCCTCCTCCCGTCAGTCTATCTTCTCTTCCCTCCATATGCCCCCCCTCTCCTCCTCATTAAGCTACAATGCAGAAATGCTCCCACCGGTCGCATGCAGAGTGGCATAGGAGCTGAAAAACACCTCCCAGTTTCTATTCCAAACAAACTCGCAACAGATGCTCCTTTTCAGACACATACATACAGTCGAGAGGCTTTTGCACTCCAGATTTCCCACATTACCACCCAAAAGACTGGAGAGGAGTTTCTCCTCTGCCTTTTTTGTTTCTTGTTTTGCTGCAAAATTTGCCACAGATGGTGGATGTCCCTGAGTTATCTATCCCGCATTTATGTTTTCCCTCTTTTTATTTCGCTCTTGTTTGTGTTTGTGTGCACATCGCATTGTGTGCATGTTTATTTCTATGCTTTTGAGGTCCTAAAACAAAACTTTGCAGCCTTTTTTTGCACGGGGTGATGAGTGCTTTAGAGGAACCGAGACCGTGTCCGAATAAAGCAACGAAACAACAAAGTGAGAGAGCTGGAAAAGGGAAGCGAGAGCAGTGAGACGGAGATTAAATAAAATCCAGAGAAATGTCCATACAGAGCGAGGCAGCCTATAAGAGTAAACAAAATCAATTTCTAAGAAAAAAACTCTTAGAAATAGACCCACTCACAGACTACAGACACTCTCTCAGGGATGCTGTCCAGCCAAGTGTGAGTCACAGCGTCTCTATCCCTGTTTCAGAGTGTTGCACAACACAGATAAAACAACAGATAAAAAGCTGCACAGTAGAAACATAAGCTGTGTCTATTTTTTGACTGTGAATCCACAGACAACCTGCATGGAGGTGCCACTATTAAGTGCAAACACTCCTGGTGTAAGAGCAGAGAGGGGAAGCAATTTGTGGCTGTCTATTTATAGGATTATGTTTAATTACAGTTCAATAGAAGATTTGTGATCGGAGCGATACCATGATTGAGGTGATCGTGTGCGTACATGTATACTGTCATATTCTTCCACCTCTGTGTCTGCACTTTGGTATGTGGATTTGTTAGTTTCTCTGTCTATAGCCTGTAGCATCAGCGCAGAGTTCAACTCTATGTTTAGCTGCATGTGTGCTTGTCAACACCTATTTCCAGCCGCACTTCTGTTTTTGCCCATGTTACCATTTTTCACCGTGTTACCCTCTTTTGTCCTCACACTGTATTATTGCTCCTCTGAAACAGATGGATCATAGAGGGGGATTTCCACTTTATAGCATGTTTCAGACTTGGGACAGCACCCACTCCGATAACAATGCACCCACTTAGTTAGCTTGTAGAGATGGTAATCATTGTTGGTGCATCGCTGGCTTCTTCACAGATCCCCAAGCGTGCCAAAACATGTTATGAACAAGCTGAGTTGTCTCTAAAAGAAGCCTCTCAGGGCTTTCTCATACCAGGGAAAAGCAGAAAAATAAAAGCAATGTGTGTTTGCAGTGGCTCCGGACTTTTTGGAGCCTTAGCATTTCAACTAAAGCCTCCGGCTAATGAGCTTCACTTAGTTAAACAAACTCGCTTCACTTTGTCGACTTCAAGGCTGCTTACAGTCAATGTTCACCTTGAATGAAAGACTGAAGAAAAAAGAAAACGAAAAAGCATAAAAAAAACCTCATTGTGTTTCTGTATTCAATATTCAAATCAGTAGTTTTCACCACAGACTCATAACTCAGACGAAACATTCCGAAACTGATTTTGTGGATCTTTAAGGAGAGAGTTTCCGCGTCAAAGTCATTGTTCGCCGTCATCTGAAAGTAAAATTTAAAGCCTTGATTGTTGAGGACAAGGAGAAAACAGAGTGGATCACAAATCTTTCATAACAATTTATCTTGCCGGGCAATCGATGCCAAGAAACTTGACCCTTTCTCACATGACCGATTTAATTCATTCTGGCTTGGTAAGCAGGCGCTCAGAATGTTTAGCCACTGGTGCGTATCTCAGGGGGTATGACCTCTCTCTAAGACACACACACACACATAAAGATTCACTCACATGTACATACACTCAGAGCGAAAAGACACCCATGCGGACAGACTCACGCAAGCAAACACACAACTTAATGCACGCTCACAAACACTTGGCCGCGTTGCTCTTTTGCAGCGGTGATTTATTACAGCAAACTAAATACCCATTGACACTTCATGCTTTTAGCCATCCCATTGACCTGGCTGGCGATTATCGATTCCCTCTGGTCGCTTCCTCCTTTGCTCTTTCATCGGGCCATCGTTTTAATGCCACTGCATTAGAAGTGCGCCCGCACTCGCTCTCTCTTCCACACGGCCTCCAGGGTCCTGGATGAATAGCCTTGTCTCCATCGCATCCATATTGCAGCCTTAATTAAGATGCTCAGGGCTCAGATGGAAACAACTGGCTCCGGAGAACAAATAGTGTGTTAATGCCAGAGTTTCAAGACCGTCAAATGATCCATGGTAGACTTTGGTCCGGGCATTTGAAATTCTTTTTACTTGATTAATCTTTCTTAGTGTTTATTTTTCAATGTTAAAGTGGGGCTGTGATGTTTAACACCGTCCTGTACTCTGAAGGTCAATGGAAAATATTAAATCTTAGTGGGTTGGAGCGTTCGTGACACACCCAAACTTTCATTCCTTGGACTGTTTTGATTTTATTCTCTTTAATTTTAATATCCATTGTCTTTTAAACTCTTTAATGCACTGTCATGCCGTATGCAAAGCACTTTGAAGTGGCTTTATATTTGAATAGAGCTACGCAAATAAAGTTGCAAGGCCTTGGCTCAGTTAAAAACTAAACGCACTCCATTTCTGTGATAGGAAAGGGGAGCAGATCCCTCAGCACACATGCACACTCACAAAGATATGTTATACACACAGGAATCGCTATTTGAAGTGAAATGATTTAATCGTGGTGTCCTCATTCGAGATTGAAAAATGCATTAGATTACAGTGTCTCAAAGAAAGCTTTTAGAGTCTAGTTTGCTTGTACTGGTTTAATGAAGCTGGTAATCAAAGTTTAGAAAAATTAATCCCATTTTATCCCAAGTAATTCACCCCCTGGGCACGGTGGTAGCATTGCAAGATGTAGAGGAGAGTAAGAACAGAGAAGCATGAAGGTTAACCGGCGTCTTTATTAGAGGACGTTGCGATCATTGCTCTGTAATTGAAGCGTAATTGGTTGTGAAGCAATGTGCCTGCTACTCCCAAACAGCTATGAGGTAAACATGCTGTGGTGGCTCTGTGGTGAGGAGGTGACAGGTTGCTTTAATTGTGATGAATTTGCAGTTCCTGTCCCCGGCTTTTCGCTACAATAACCAGAGATGAAAGACGCAGCAAGGGACTAAACTGAAAGGTCCAAAAGCAGAACAAAAGGAGTAAAAAAGAAAAATGTCGTCCCTCCAGTTTCCTCGTTCTTTGTTGACCAAAAAAAGATGAATGAATAATACTTTTTAAGTTTTGATGCAAGTTTCGAGATGGATTGATGTTTTAAAAAACAACTTCATTAAATCAACAAACACACACAGCCTCTAATCTGTTTGTGTCTCTTATTTTCTTCCAGTGGGAGGAGGTGAGCGGCTACGACGATGCCATGAACCCCATCAGGACTTACCAAGTCTGCAATGTACGTGAGCTGAACCAGAATAACTGGCTACGCAGTGACTTCATCCCCAGGAAGGATGTGCTACGTGTATATGTGGAGATGAAGTTCACTGTACGCGATTGCAACAGCATTCCAAACATCCCAGGTTCCTGCAAAGAGACCTTCAATCTGTTCTACTACGAGTCGGACTCAGACTCGGCCACAGCCACCAGTCCCTTCTGGATGGAGAACCCTTACGTGAAAGTGGACACTATTGCCCCCGATGAGAGCTTTTCCATGCTCGAAACCGGACGGGTAAACACTAAAGTCAGAAGTTTCGGGCCGCTGTCCAAAGCCGGGTTCTACTTGGCCTTCCAGGACCTTGGCGCTTGCATGTCCCTCATCTCAGTGAGGGTCTTTTATAAGAAGTGCTCCACCACCATCGCCAATTTTGCTGTTTTCCCAGAGACAGCAACAGGGGCCGAAGCGACATCCTTGGTCATTGCGCCAGGAACTTGTGTCCCCAATGCTCTGGAGGTGTCCGTGCCTCTGAAGCTGTATTGCAACGGAGACGGCGAGTGGATGGTCCCTGTCGGAGCCTGCACATGCTCTGCTGGTTTCGAACCTGCCATGAAGGATACCCAATGTCAAGGTGAGTGTTTTCACAACAGATAAGTTCAGTCACGCCAGGACGGACATGGTGTACACATCCCATGAAGCGCAGAGTTTATAAGCACCAACAGACTCGGAGAAATCCACAGAACACTGCAGTACTGCTGTTTCGCAGTTTATTGCAGAGTCTTACCTTTCTATAAAATGAAGACGGGATCAGATTTCCCTTTGGCGCTCAATAATTTATTACATTATTTCTGCTGAGAAGTTACATTTGCATTGAAGGTGCATAATATCACATTGTTCGGAGCGGATGAATTACCATGTGTGAGCAGTAAGGCGTCTTGTTGAAAGGCACTTCATCTCCAGGCATGACTGTTGTGGACACACTGATTGTTGGTGAAATTGAATCCGTATTGTTTTGGCTGCGGGGTTACAGCCTCTATCACTCCACTGTCCAGCTGCCACATTATTATGAGCTATTTATATTCCTTGTATCCTTTGACAAAGTAATACGACTACTACAAGGTAGAATAATACACACTAGATGACACTGTCAGCAGGTGACTGCTCACCCCTCTAACCTCAGTTTTGCCTGGCAGCTGGTTGCTAAATAAATGGAAATGCAGGGGAGGCTGTTTGCCTCTGTGAGCACAGAGGCTCCATGATGGTTTCAGGTCTGATGGAAAACATGACGGGTTCGCAGAGGTTGAGAGCAAGGTGAATTTAAACAGCAAGGTCTCAGCTGAAATGGAGTGCAGGTGACAGCAGGAGGATAGGGGAGGATAAATGGAAAATGCGCGTGTGTTGAGGGGTACGGGGGCGTAAAATTAGGCTTGGTGAGCGTAGGTCAAAAGGAGACGGCGGAGTGAGAGAGAATGACAGAGGTTCTGGTTGGGATGTTGATCAGCAGGGTTCAGTCCGAGGTGTTTGAGCATGAACAGCTTATGGATGTGTTGGCGTCATCCTTTGCTGACCGGGTTCAGGGGGCTCATTCCTCATAACACCCTAAGAAAAGACGTCTGAAGGCATTTTGTTTCGTAACTATTCAGAATATCAGACAGAAACGGCAGAGAAACAGTTTTGGGCAGGTGATGAATATTGATGTGTGTTCAGTTTGGGGCTGCAGAGTGTGTAGGTTTGAGAGTAAATCTAAAGCCAGGCGTGTATGGTTAAAAACTCATTTGTTTGTTCTTGGCAGCTCAAGGTTAAAGCCCTGGCGACTGGGCCCTGATAAAATGCTCTCTAATCAAGCTGCACTGAAGACCACGAGGGATAAATCTCCCTCTCCTCACCTCTCCTCCCATCCTCTCTCCTCAGGTCCACCCTCCTTTCTGACTAGTTTTACTCCTAAGTTTACACTCTTTCCGTTTCTGCTTCCCTCTCTTTGGTCAAAACTGTACTATGCCCCACTAACGTCGCTCACCCTCCCTTTCCTTCCCAATCTGGAGGCTGCTATTCTTATTAATACACCACTGGAGTTACTGTAAAAATGTCTGCATTAATTTTAATTGATGAGCCTTTTTTTTTTTTTGCCTTTTCCACTCCTCTGCTGCACATTTTTTCACCCCCAATAGTTTTTCTCTTTTTTCCTCTTCATGCTCCACACTTTCCAATTTCAGCATACATTCTAATCAGTTCCTTAAGCTCTATGTTCTGCATGAGAGGATAAGACACAGGGGAGTGGGGAATAAGGGGGAAAAAACGCCTGCAGGATTAGCATTTTCAATGCCTCCACCTCTTCCACCTCTCCCTCCCTCTTCCTTCAGCCCCTTGTCTCTCTTTCTTCCTCATTCTTTGCTGGTTCCTCTGAGGGGAAAATGGATGAAAGAGAGAGGATGACCCCTTTACTCGCTGGAAGTGATTGATCAGCACTTTCAGCCCTTTGCCGGAAAAAAAATAGAAGCTTTTCCCTCAACATCTCTCATTAAGCTAACATGTTGAAAATCCAATACTCTCATCCCTCAGTGAGATGAGAAATGGCTTATAGTTTACTTTTGTCGAGTGAACTCAAATGAACTCACTCGGGTCATGCTACCAGATCCAAGACGCAGTTCTCCCACCCGGTAAAAATGGAGGTCATTCCTTATCTCTATATCAACAGCTCTGTCTGTTAGCCAGAGGTGTGGATGACTCTGATTAATGGTGGAAGAACAAATACACTTAGTGCTAATGTACACGGCGCCGTCAACTGGTGGTTTAGTGCTAATATTGACCTTCCAAAAGCGGGACAACAGCAGGAGCAGGAAGTGGTCTGCTGTAGGTTTGACCCCCCAACCTTGTTTTTTTTTTTCTCTCTCTCTTTTTTTCATCACGAGGAGAAAAACAAATTTTGAAGCTATGGAGACAATTATCATTCAGGAGGACAAACACTGAGCTGTGGCCTTGACTTTGACAAGCTAACGCACTGGCGGGTCAGCTAATCAACTGGCCCCTGTAAACTTTGACTGTCTTACCCACGCTTTTCTTTTTTTATTAAGCGCTGCGGCAAACTCATTCATCTTTTAACGAGACTGTTTATCAAAGATATGGAGCCTGCCAAAGGGTTCTGGTTCAGTGTGCCGCCGTCAGTGTCTCCCAGTACATCTGCAACTTATCACCTGAGTTATAAACGTCCAAACGGCTGCTATAAATGGAGATAGGACACCAACAAAGGCGAGCAGTGTTGTCATCTGATCAACCAGGCTTCAACATTGAAGAACCAGTTTAGGAAAACAGAACTGAAGTTGGTTTTGCACAGAGATGTAGGATTACTGCAGATACCAGTCTCTCTGGGTGAGTTATAATCATTCAAGGACAGAATGGTGTGTGCAGAGATATATCTTTGCAGTATTACAGTTAACTTTGTGCATGTACACATAAACATACATGTTATTCTCAAGGTTAATATTTAATTTTGAAGGAAAAAACAACATGCCAGCATTTTGACTCCTAGGATTGTGTTTGTGAGTGAGGTTGACCATCTCTGGAGCTCTAAATCTCATCTCACTTTTCATTCAATGTAGGGTAAGGGGAGCACACACAGAAATATTCACATTTCTACACAAACATCTAAAACTCATCAAAACATTTCTCATGTCATTTTATCCAGTGAGGTAGACCAGTGTTTGAGACAGGGACAAGAAACTGTTTGCTGAAGTTAAGACACTTCATCCTCTGGTAAACACTCGCATACAAAAGATTTGTAAAGTGAACTGCACCATTTATAAAACTGGACTCTACGTGATTGTAACAAGTTATTTTTGTGAGTTGCTATATACCATCTGCTCTACTTCCGAAGCCATTGAAGTAAGTTCTAATTCAGACCTAAAATTAATATTTCTTTCTCCATTCTTCTCCTCTCATCAGCTTGCAGCCCTGGCACCTTCAAGTCCAAACAGGGAGACGGTTTCTGCCTGCCGTGTCCAGCGAACAGCCGTGCCAGCTCAGGAGCGTCTAGTGTTTGCTCCTGTCGAAATGGCTACTACCGCTCCGACGCTGATTCGCCAGACTCTCCATGCACAAGTAAGGAAAAGACTGCTTAGATAAGGAACTATTTGTGATAGAAACTAGAAGCCTGGGTGCTTTTGTCACACAGGTGCATACCTGATGTTCAGACAGGTAAAAGTTCTACAGATTCTTGACTGTGTGGGAAATATGTTTTCAGACATCCCTGTTTGGATGGTGTTTTCCATTCCTGATAAAACCTCTGAGGAGCTCATATGCTGTTCCCACCACACCATATGAGAGTCTGCTCGCTTCCCCAACCTTATCCTCAAATGTTATCATCTTTCACCTCCCCCAACCGCCTCAACATGAGGTCCATTTGTTTTCCAGCGCTGCCGTACCTTTACAGATAGACAGTGGAGGAATTTTTCTAGTAGTGGTGCATTTGCTGAGAGAAAACACACACACACATGTAGGAGCTAATTCATTCACTAGTGAAGAGAAGAGAAGATCCTTTTTTTTGTGCTGCTGGGGTGGGGGGCTGATTCTCCCACAGTGCAGCCAGAGATAAGGCTCCAGTAATTGGATAAGAATTGCCAAGGCTCTGCCAATAGTTGGTCTCGCTCGTCCCCCCCAGCACTTTACACACACTCGCACGCACACCCAAATACACACACTGGCACATGGTGGAAATGAGCATGCAATTCAAATTTGAACTCCTGTCCTCTTTTTTTTTTTTTTCAGCAGAACTGCTGGAACCGTCTCCTGTTAAATGAGAGAAAAATATGTGTAGTTAATGCGTAAAAAAATCACTGCTACCACAGTACACAATTATGATGATAGCAGCCTTGAAATAATCAGTGTCTATGTGTAAAACGGTATGTAAACTGTCTTTTGCTGTACGAGTCTCAGCTTATTGTCAGGGTGTCTCTGTGCTGTCACCAGGACATTGTGCATGGAGATTAAATTCATTTTCATTCCAAACCTATTTACGCTCTACCTCTCTCTTTTTCAGCCGTTCCCTCCGCACCACGTAGTGTCATCTCCATAGTGAATGAAACCTCGCTCGTGCTGGAATGGAGCGAGCCACGTGACTTGGGAGGCCGTGAAGATATCTTCTACAATGTCATCTGTAAGAAGTGTCTACCCGAGCGGGGAATGTGCTCTCGGTGCGACGACAACGTGGACATCTCGCCGCGCCACCTGGGCCTGACCCTGCGCAGAGTGGCTGTCCGTAATCTCCAAGCTCATACGCAGTACAGCTTTGAGATCCAGGCTGTCAATGGGGTTTCCAACAAGAGTCCGTATACGCCCCAGTTCTCGACTGTGAACATCACTACAAATCAGGCTGGTAGGTAAAGCTGCAGCCTTACGGCTCCCTGTCAGAAACGATACTGAAGTTGTGGGCGCTGCCAGCTATCAAAGCTGGGACAAGATGCAAAAGCATGTCAGAGAATACCTTCTGCGCTTAAGAAGTAGAGATCAATTTCTTATATGCTAGTAGGAGTATGTTACATATTTTCCCTTTGAACAGGGATTGAGAAGGAAGACATTCTTCTGAATGGGCTTAGAAAAGGGACCTTTTTCACACGCCCACACCATGCTCTGTGCTAACACCACTGCAAATAGCAATAGCGAGGCAGTGTGTATTCAAAGTGTTGAACCCTCAGTATTCTAGCTGCCCACTGCTTCCAACCCACCGCTCCTCCAGCCCACAGCAACAACAGGAACTAGGCCAGTGTAGCAATCATGGCAGAGATTACAGTTTCCATGCGCAGAAGACTGAAACCCTGTTGATGTACAGAATCATTCATGACAGAAATGATAAGCTACAGTATTGCATGTGTGCCCTGTAACACACACACACACATATATATAAATGCAAAGTGTCAGCGTTAATGGTTTTAGATGGAAAATATAGGTGTGTGTAGGTTGGCAGGTAAATAAGTAATCTTGCTGTTGTCGATTCCCTTTGCTTAACTGAACTCTATCTACGCCTCAGTTTCTGAGTTTGTCTCCTTGATGAGATTCTCCTCGAGCTCTTAAATTTAATACAGACGCTTTGTTAAGTTTGTTATATCTGCTGCCCCCAAACAACACCAGGGATTATCCCTTTCGCTCTCTCCCGTCATCGCTCCATCGGCCCTGTCCTTCTAACCTCTGGCCCAGAGTTCCTGCTCATGAAAGATGCTTTAAGGAATGCCTTCTGTTTGCGGGTCTAGGACCCAAAGACCCAACAGGGCCCCATGTGAAGGCTTCATTGTTTCACAAAGGGTCTGGCACTGAGCTGACAGAGACTGCTGTCCATCTTGGGTGCTCGGGGTCAGTTGGCTGCAGGGAGAGAAAGGGGGCTGAGGGGAAAGGAAGGGGTAAGAGAGCATCAACTGTGATCAGATTATCCTCTGGTGTAGTCTCCAAACCATCCCTGCATGTGCATTCACCTTTTAAGATCCTAAATAAATACAAGGGCGGAGATAAGCCCCAAGAGGCCACCTCCATGGTTACTCCAACGTCTTCTCCCAAGGGAGGGCCCCTAATCCCCTGGCTAGAGAAACCAGGGGATCTGCCTAGGAAGCATTGTCTTCTGGAAGAGAAAAGGGAGGGCCTTGGTGGACAGGAAGGGAAATAACCAGGGAAGGGAAGGTTTGGGAGCAAAGAGAAACAGAATTATGTCTGGCCACAAACACAGACAGCAGAAGGAGACAGTAAATGCAAGAAGGAGGATCAAAGAGCTCAAAAGTGGGGATTAAAAAACTTGGAAGAAAGGAGCTCGACAGAGATAGTTTGGAGATGGAGGCTGTTTGAAAACATGTGAAATACAGTAGAAATCAAAGAAGGTGGTCGTACAAAATTGAGGAAGGAGTCGGGAGGTATGTAACTTTAATTTACTTTAGAAGAGACGATGCCTACGGAGATTAAAACAAAATTTAAGCTGGAAAAAAAGTTGATGGAGCAGAGTGTGTGGAGGGAGTGAGTCAGAGGTATAGAACAAGGCTGAACTTGGAAAAGAGCAAAAAGAGACGGAGAGGCAGACAGCACATGTCTATTGATAGGTACATGTTAACAAAGCATAGAAAACCAATGTGGGTGGAGGGCCAGAGTTTAGATCTGAACATAAATGTGTAAAACAAAGATTTCTTGCTTTTAAACAGTGAAAGCGTGAGTTCAGGAAGCCTGTAGTCAAATTTAAGGATGACATCTGCGAGTATCTGTGAGCCATCTGCAACCCGGAGTTTGTCTGTGGACCAGGAGACTATATACCACAGATTTATCCATCAGTTTTGCTGCTAGATTCTCTTGTCACATGAGAATTAGACATTCCCTCTCCCTCCCCGAGGACTCTAGGGAGGGAGAATTTGAGCATTAGTGAGGGATGGTCCTGCATACCAACTATTGGCCGAAGCTTTCACAAAGACCAGAGCCTAGCACTTTGTATTTGAGCTTCTGTGGACACACAAAGGGCACAGGACTTGAAAAGACATAACACACAGCACAATCAACAAAGCGTGTTTTCCCTTTATTCGTTCTGCCCTATGCAGCTCCATCTGCAGTTCCCACGGTTCACCTGATGGCGGCCACAGCGAGCACCATGAGCCTGTCCTGGCTGCCCCCAGAGAAACCCAACGGAATCATTCTGGATTATGAGATTAAGTACCATGAGAAGGTAAGCAGCAATGTAAGTCAACACCTCTGATTCAATCCCATTTCAATGACGTGCACGGTCTCTGTTTAGTCAGTGTTTGTGTTGACAATACCTCTGCTGATAAACACATGGTTGAACCAGTTGTGGCTTGTGTGATCATCCTTTCCTCTGTGTCGTCCTTGTCCTCATCTTCCAACCCTTTCTGTCTTTTTTTCTGTCATTCCTCCCAATTCCCTACATTTATATCACACTGTGCTCTTTTTCTGTGCCTGTAATTCCACTTCTCCCTCTTTCCTCCTGCTTATCCCAGCTCTTCTCCAAATGAGAAACTTTCTAGAGGCCTTGAGAGTTTCGACCAGATATGTCTGAGGGAGAACAGAAAGGCAGTCTTTGTATATCGGCTGTATTTTGTCTTATCCCCTCTCCTGTCGGATTAAAACTCCACTTGCACTTTGCTGCTTTCATTTCTCTCTCTGGCTATTGTCCCAGACAGATAGTGCTGAGTATTTTGATCGCTCATTGTTTCCTTCTCTTCAGGATCAGGGTGAGGCCATCGCTCATACCATGACTGCCCAGCGAAGCAACGCCCGCATCGAAGGTCTCAAGGCCGGAACACCGTATGTGGTGCAGGTCCGAGCCCGAACAGTGGCTGGTTATGGTCGTTACAGCAGCCCGGCGGACTTCAGCACCAACCTGCAAAGTATGTCACTCCAATTCCTACTTCATTACCTAGGGATATGTTGGGATATTTGGGGCTTAGCTGCATTACCTCTATAAAAGTGCTGTGCATAAGCCTATGAGCATAATTGAGGCTCAAAAGCTTATGGACCTAGGTACCGCTGTGACTATTTTTTGGTGCAAAAGAAGTAAAATCCTTGTAGAGAAATTGACTTTTGGTTTGGTCTAGTCTTTCATTCGTATGAAATCAGTCCAGGTATCAGCTTTAATCTTGCTTTACAAAATAATCACCTTTGAGAAGAGAAAATTACAGAAGAAATGAGTCTTTTTTTAAATTAAAGAATATAAAGTGTAAGCAAAAGTTGTACTCAGGAAAAGTCATCAACTTTCTCTTCGACTTTCTACAGCTGATCCTCCAAAGCCGTGGCAGGAGCAGCTGCCTCTCATCGTCGGAACAGCCACCACCATCTTGGTCTTCATCATTGCAGTCGTAGTCATTGCTATTGTCTGCCTCAGGTTAGTAAAAAGTCTCATGCAGCTTCACAAAACAGTCAGATCTCCGAGAACATGAGCAACAAATAGTTTGGTAAAACATTTCTGCACCGACTCACTCTCTGCTTTTCTCTAGCTGAAGGATTTCCAAACAGCAACCACTTGAAGAAACACTTTTTTTTTTCCTTTAAGTAAAAAGAATTGGATACCTTAAAATGTCAACTTTGTTTGCATGTCCTCCAAACCACCCTAGCAGTTTTTCTGTGCCACCTGTGAGGCCGCTGAATTCCAGATTAGTCCTCTGAATGTGTGAGTGGTAAACAGCTTTGGCAAAAACGCTTCTTTGCTCACTAGACACAGCATGGTGGAGCAGCTGTTCGGCCTGATAGGCCTGCCCTCATGGCCCGGCACTCAGAATCATCTTTGCAGCCGCCCGACCACAAAGAACCCCAGATGCGCCCCTGTCTGCTGGGCCCAATTGACTGGGAAGATGCGAGCGGCTGCTCAGACCTTTCAAAAAGTCTGACACTGCTTCTGTTGGGTCTAACCACACTCGTTTATCCTTATACCACTCATTTGTCAAGCTGTAAATGCAGAGCTTGTGTGTATATAGGTGTGAAAGGTTGGCACCCACCGCTGACTGGCGCCCACTGGGTTCCCTCCACAAGCCAGTTCAGGCTGTGGCTGACAAGCGTGAGCATCAGTCACGCTAGACTGAATAATAATCTCCCTGGCTCCCCTCCTCTCTTGCTCCCTGCTGCCTCTACGCTCTCTTCTATTTTCACACCACTACATTGTGTCTCTCTCAGGGTCTTGGCTTAGCCAGTGCTTTGACTGCCACAGAAGAAGAAGAAGAAGAAGGAGAAAATAGTCATCATACAAAACGCAGAGCTTTGGCATATTTCGGATCTGAATTAGAATTTGAAATAAGATGCAAATCACCAGCGGGTATTATTGCCCTGGTTACTGGTTAGACAACAAAAGAAGCACATTAACATGTAATTTCAACAACCCAGCCCCCTCGCTCTGTCATCTCTTTACACACATGCAGGAGGACAAGGATACGGAAACTGTGGAGCATGAGTAAACTGAAAACAGAAGAATAAAAATGTTGAGGGAATTAGTAAAATAGTACAAGAGAGTAAAATAAGAGGCGGTTTGAATGAAATAAACGGTGTAATGTCTGTAGGGCAGGAAAAGCGAGACAGCTGAGCTTGCTGTTTGAGTCTGCTTTTGTCTCGGCTGCTCATTTTCAACGTACCAAGAGTGAATGTTTTTTATTTTGTTTTTTTTTCTTATTCCAGCTTCACACGATGGTACGGCATCCTTTTGTTCAGAGTTGTGTTCCAGTCCCCAAAAATGAATCATTTTTACCAGCAGGCATTGATCCAGTCTTTATCTACAGTGTATTCCTTGCTTCCAAAGCATAAAGACACCTTTGCCAAGCCACATCGTAGTGCTGCAACATTTTTGCAGACATTATTAGGGATCTGTTTTCTCTCCGCGCCTTTGTTCCTTCCAGTACTTGCACCCTGCTGTGTGGAGTCCACATGACTAAGTTTGGTTTTTTCATCTCTTTACAGAAAGCAGAGAAATGGTTCAGAGTCTGAGTACACAGAGAAACTGCAGCAGTACAGTAAGTCTCTCTGCTGAGATACCTTCCTTTCAAGCACTGTTTAAATTTCAAGCTGTTTTCTTGTACCTCACCTGAAACTATACTGGGCTAAAGCTGCCGTCAGAATCAGGCGTAATAAAAAAAAATGTTGTCAGTCGTGTTCAAATGCATGTATTCACTTTCCCGTTCTTGCCACTGAATCCCCTATAGTAACGCCGGGAATGAAGGTCTACATTGACCCCTTCACCTATGAAGACCCCAACGAGGCAGTGCGCGAGTTTGCCAAGGAGATAGACGTGTCCTGCGTGAAGATCGAGGAGGTCATCGGCGCAGGTAACCCACCAAAGCTCCTGAGCTACAGGGGGAAGACTGCTAGTCACCTCCAGGCCATACCGTTAGAGGACTTCACACCAAGCGGTACTTTCACTCAATTCATCGCTAGCCCTCTCCTTGCTCCCACCCCTCCCACACTCGCCACCTCTTAGGACCCCCCTCTTACAGACGTCTCCAGCACTCTCCTGTGTTCAAACAGTACTAGCCACAGTGTTAAGTCAGTGTGACTCCACAGTCCTGTCACCCTTACGTTGATTTTGGAGTAGATGTTATACCTTGTGTTTAATGGTTCATCATTTCACCCAAATCCTGAGAACAGAACTCAATCCTGGAACAAAAAGAGAAGCAGCGTGAGGATATTCATTTAGTATAAATAAGGAGGAATCAGCAAACATTTCTATAACTGATAAAAAAGTTTTTCTTGAATTTAATGTGAGCAAAGAGTGAATAATGTAAGTCTACAGCTCCATACAGACAGGATTTATTTCTCTGGGGGAAGTTTTAATCCTGTCCCAATGCAAATGTGATTTTTTTTTCCTCTTATCTCTTCAAGCCTTATTATTTTTGGGCACACTTGTTTGCCTTCTATTTTTAAACTTCTCAACGGATAGACACAAACTGTAACTCTGAATAATCGCACATAAATCTACCTACTTTCTCAAGTCTAAGATTTTATTTAACAACCTTGTTCGAGTCCTGTGGGGTGTAATGAATAAATTCTCACATAATTATTACTGCGATTAGTGACATTTACTTCTTATTTGAGGAACCCAGTGGAAAATCTTCATTTGGGTCATAGCTTTTGTACTTTGAGTTTTTACATATTAAGGTTTCGGGAATATGTCGGTATGTAACAACAGATTCAAGCAGATCTCCTTCACCCTCCTGAAGTTAAAAATCCTGTCTGGATGGGACGTTAATCGTTAAAGATGTTTCCAGGATTGGCCGTCTCTGACCTTGTCCACTTTAAAGTGTCTCCAGAACCTCTTTATCTAAGAGAGCTTCTGCCAGATCACGACATTTGACCTATTATCCTAGTATTGTTTCCACTATGTCATTGTTTCCCCTCCCTTAGACACCCCCCCTCAACGTTTGATGTTGTAGATAGTTGAATATTTGATGATTCTGATATCATTGATAGTAATTTATATATCTGCTCAAAGCTGCAGGACTTGTGCCAAATGAGGTTGAGTTTTCTTAGCATTGTTTCTGAGCCAAAAGCGGAGGACGTTGTGATGGCAGAGATGGGAGTCTCTACTACTGCTTCTGCTACTACCATTACTACTGCTACTACTACCTCGAGAGCTCTTCTACTGCTGAGGCTACTACTTGAAACCCGTCGCTCCCCAGCATTCGCCTTTAAAGTGACAAACCCCTCAACCCCTGTCTTCCCTGTCCCCTCCCCCCTCATCTCCTCTTCCCCTTCCTAAAATCCATCCTCCCATTCCTCCATCCCTCACCCTCTCACCCCCCTGGCCTCTCTCACTTGTGTCACCTTTGCACCTTCGTTTGCGACATCGCTCTCATCACTTTGCATTCATGCACACGCTTGGTGTAGACTCTAAACATAAAGCGTCCACAACCCCCAAAACTCCAAAGCTTCTCTCTCCGCCTTCCTCCTCCTCCTGTGCCCGCTACTCCAGCCCCTCTGAAGCTTAGCGACACCCCCTCGTTTCTTTCTCCCTCCCCCCTTCTGTCCCCTTTCTTACCTTGTACCCTGTCACCCCGCTTTACCCGTTTTTGTTCGACAAGTGTTTTCTATTTTCTCCCAATCCGTCACCATGCCTCACGTTCATCACGCTGTTTCTTTTAATCCGTAGCATAACAGCACAAAGTTACTGTATGCTCACCCTGTCACCACCATCCATTGACATTGGCCTAGAGACCTGGCTTCTCTTGCAGTCCCCCCTGTCCCACTTCCCTGCTACTCCTCCCTGGCTCCTTGGTTCTAACCAGTTAACTGTACCCTCTCCCCTCTTTTCCCCCCACTCTCCTCCACTCTACCGTCATGCCTCTCTCCCCTCCCTCTTTCTCTCACTCTCCTCCCATCTCTCCTACTCCTCTTTTTTCTGTTTCTCTGGCTGTCCACCTTGGCTCTCACAGGAGAGTTCGGAGAGGTGTGCCGCGGTCGCCTCAAGCTGCCCGGGCGCAGGGAGATCATCGTAGCCATCAAGACTCTCAAGGTGGGCTACACTGACCGTCAAAGGCGAGACTTTCTGTCTGAGGCGTCCATCATGGGCCAGTTTGACCACCCCAACATTATCCGTCTGGAGGGTGTGGTCACGAAGAGCCGACCGGTGATGATAGTGACTGAGTTCATGGAGAACGGAGCGCTGGACTCTTTTCTAAGGGTGAGAAAAACAAATACAGCTCTTATGATAGATAATAGTTATTAATTATTTCCTGATTATGCACTTATAATAGATGTTTTTTCCCCTTAAAACTGAGACGCTGTATTTCAAGGGCTATCTACTAAATTCCTCAGTTCCTCCTCCTCCTACACTATCTAACAAATAAACCCTTACAGATTTCCCTGATCTCGATTTTGGTTATCTTATTTCCTTAAAAAAGTCTTCTTTAGTTCTGCTACAGAGCGTTAAGAGGATATCAGGCAAATGCTGCATTCAGGCAGATGGTGACATTTACAAAAAGCTCAGTCTGTGCTGAATCACAATGTCAAAGTCACATCAGACTGTGTCTGCTGTGAAAAAGCGGCTGATATGAGAAGATATGGAGGATGGAGAGACAGAACTGGAAAAGACTTTACAGCGATGAGTAAGAGGTCGTAGGAAAGAACTGTGAGAGATACTTAAAAGAGAAAGACAGTTAGGACAAATAAAGGTGAAAAGGGGACAAACATAAATATTTATTCCTTTGAACGCACAACCTTGATCCACAGTCCAGTTTATCGCTGTTATTCTCTCTCTACCTTTGCCAGCTCAATGACGGGCAGTTCACAGTGATCCAGCTGGTCGGCATGCTGCGCGGTATCGCAGCGGGCATGAAGTACCTGTCAGATATGAACTACGTGCACAGAGACTTGGCTGCCCGAAACATCTTAGTCAACAGTAATCTGGTGTGTAAGGTGTCGGACTTCGGCCTGTCTCGTTTCCTGGAGGACGACCCCACAGACCCCACTTACACCAGCTCCCTGGTAAGGAAAAGCAGAAGAGTGTGTGTGTGTGTGTATGTGTTTTTATGTAAATGCATACATGTTCAAAACCAATGTTTAAAGGTGCTACATGTGACGTTGAAAACAGCAACGCATCATGATCATGTGAACTCCAGCTCCTTTCACTCTCAACTCCAAGGTAGTTCAGTAGTTATCATGTAAATAAGAGGGACGAATTAAAAAGAGCGATAGTGCAGCCAAGTTACAGTTTAGAAATGAATTTGAAATTTTTTAGGGTCAAAAAATCTTAAAATCCAAGAATTCTGAACCTTTTGTAAAATTGTGACCTGAACATGTTGCTGCATGTGTGTTTGGAGCAGTTTGCCAGGCACGTAACAGGATCTTTAGCTGATAATTTAATGGAATGTCTGGTATTAATAAACGACTGGTTCTTATTCTTACATGACCGAACATGTTAGATTGGCAAAGGAAGCTGAGGTTCGTTGGCAAGGTCAGACGAGATCGTCAAGAATGAACAAGTGCCCTGAGAAAAAAAAAAAACAGACAGACAACCGCCTGGTTTGTTTACAAAAGTGCAGTTTTTCTGCTTTGACTTCTTAACTAAAAAAAAAAGAACAGTTCACTTTCCTTTCATTGCAAACCAGCTTAATGTGTCACAATGACGAATCATCAAACGGGTTAATTTTGGTAAAAGGTGAAAGTTTTATCCAACTTGTCAATCAGGTTAAGCAAAACATCACAAAACGATTGTGTTATTTTGGAGCGGCACTGGGAACATGAGAAGTCTGGGAATCATGTGAATCAGAGCGCTCGTGTTTGATGACCTTTGCCAGACAGATATTCAGACAGATTTCTAGGATGGCGGCTTAATCCTCAACCGCATGAGTATTAAAGGAAGTAGTTTAATTTACATACTAGTGATTGGGCAGTACAGAGTTATCTCATGTCAGATGACCAGAAGAAGTCAGTCGCCTCATTTAAAGTTTATTCTGGATTCATGATGATGATATGTTGATGTTAAACAACTCACTTTGTAGCACATTAAATATTACAGCTTCATGTGTTCGTACACGTCGTTCTCCGTTACTGTCTTACTAACCTCGTGTGTGTGTCTGTGTGGTGTTTTGGTGGCATGCACCCACGTGTTGTGCATCAACATTTCCCTTAGACTGTGTTTTTTCTCACCCTCTCTCTTCCTCTTGTATGTGTGTGACTCTGTGTTTGTGATCCATCCCTCCAGTATTTCATGCTCACCTACTCATTCGCATATCCACAGGGAGGCAAGATCCCCATCCGCTGGACGGCTCCCGAGGCGATCGCCTACAGGAAGTTCACCTCGGCCAGCGATGTGTGGAGCTATGGCATCGTCATGTGGGAAGTGATGTCGTACGGCGAGCGGCCGTACTGGGACATGAGCAATCAAGATGTAAGCTGGGGTCATGTGACATTTGCAAACTAAATATCTAATTTGTAAAAAAAGAGCTATTCTGTTGAAATATTCAGGAGCGGCAGTAGCTTTTTGCATTTCAAGATGATACATGCGGATATTTAAAATTATAATCGATTTCAACCACTTCTGCTGTTACTGCCTAAAAGCTATTCTCTCTCTTCAAATCCACCCACATCTACCACTCAGAGATAATCTTTCTCTCGCTCTTATTTCTATATATTCCCCAAAGTTTTTCTCCTATTTATCTCTCACTCTTCCATCATATTCCTCATCTGTCCTCCCTTACCTGCTCTTTTGATTGACCCTCATTGTCTATCTCTGTAATTAGAAGTTATTGTGATTTCTTTGCTGCTCTTCTTTAGGTGATAAATGCCGTGGAGCAGGACTATCGACTGCCCCCACCCATGGACTGCCCCACAGCGCTACACCAGCTCATGTTGGACTGCTGGGTGAAAGAGAGGAACCTACGACCCAAATTCACCCAGATTGTGGCCACGCTGGATAAGCTCATACGCAACGCTGCCAGCCTGAAGGTGGTCACCAACAGCACACAGTCCACTGGGTAAGTTGGAGCGTGGTGATATGAGAGTCCTGACAGACGAAGATAAAAGCGTTTTTTTTTTTGTTGTTGTCTGTGTCTGTTTGGCAGAGCGTGGAGTTATAAAGCAGAAAAAAAGCTTTGATCGTGGCTCCCCGGGGGGCCGAGTTAAGTTTTATTAGATGATTTTCCTAAAGGGCGATGATGTCTAATTACGATCGTATCATTATAATATTTGTGGGACTGGCTTCTTTAAAATCTCCTCCATTTCTTTGGGCTGTACATTCGAGGGGACCTGCTGGCCTCAGATGATGAATTGCTGTAAAAGGTCATTAGTTTATCGCAGAAATACTCTTGACTTTTTAGCCGTGAGATTACCAGCCGAGTCATTTCACTCAGCAGTAATGATTTGACTGTGCAAATATTCCTTATCCAAGTTGGTATGGTGTACGTGAACCACTCTGACTCAGCTCTAACAATCTCTTAACACCTATAAAGCGCAGATTTCTTCTCATACAACTCTGTAGTTCTCACAAATGCAGCCAGGGCCATTATGCAAATCCAAATTACCATCGCTCAATAAAGCCCTTAAAGCAACTCCCCCGCCAACCGGGAGCTCAATCAATGATGTCACATCTACATTTAGCCACGCTCGCTACCTCTCTCCTCAACTTGTTTCTTGGAAAGAATTCGGAGGACAAAAAAAAAGGTGGCGGAGTTGGAGCGATAGGCAGGGAGGGGTGACCTACCTATCTGTCCCTTCAACAGGGTCTTTCTGTCTTCAGGGAGGGCCACAGACAATCCAGGTTTTGGGCTCATGGGGGAAAGCAGGGTCTCGGTTGGCCACCAAAGTGACGTTCTTGGAAGATTAAGCTTTGCGGTTAATTAGCTCGATTAGGGCGATGCAAAAAGAGTTGGGAGCGCCTTTTAATTAGCCACTAACGAGATTTTAAACGGGCCAGCGGAGAGGTGGCCTCCTGCCGACAAACCTAACAAGGGAAGAGTGAGAGATGATACTGTCACTGTGGTCGGCGGTGAAGGGTGGCTGGAGGTTAGCTAACACTGTCTGGCATACCAGTCATTTGTTCCAGGCGTTGCTGTATTTCTGCACTCGAGGTTAAAAGTGCAGTGAAAAAATGAGCTTTAGTGACATTTCTACTGTTGTAAATGCAGAAATAAGCACTAAATCCACTCTCCTCATAGAAATGCAGTCTAGTCTTCAGCAATCTAACCTTAAGACCTGGTTTAACTGCAAAGGTCTCTATACCATTAACCTTCAGCCAGGCTCGGCGTCGAACTGTTTCACTCGCTTTCATACAAAACTACCCAGCTCTCTCGCCGTATCCCTGCCTGTGGCTCACATGTGGCTTGCATCGGTCTGAACTTTTTTGAAGCCAGCTTTAGAGAGGGAACACTAACAATGCTCCATTAAGAGAAGCCAGAGTCTGGTGTTAACGACGGCCCGAGGCCTTGGGCTCCGAAGAGCAGGCCTTATTAAAAATCACTCCATCTACACCACTCAATGGAGCCTCTGTATCACTGTTATTAACTCTCCCCCTCTATGCCTTTTTCTCTTTTCTCCCTCTTTCTCTCTCCATTCCTCTTTTAATTGTTAATGAATCTAATGCCATCAAAAAGGATGACAGGGATCAGCAGAGCAGAGAGGAGGGAAGACAGTGGTGCTCTTTCAGTCCGCCTGCTCCCTCATCTGTTTCTCCTCCTTCACCTCCCTGCCTCCCCGTCTCTCCCCCCCCTCCACCTCCACCTTCACCTCCACTCTTCTTCATCCGCTCCACTTCACTTTGAGTTGTACCACAGTTTTATTAAAACTCCCAAGGTGGCCTCTCTATCTGCAGCACTGATCAGAACAGAGGGTTTGCTTTTCTTTAGAAAGGCCTTTTAGGGCTGTCAACAGGTGGGCAGAAAGACACCAAACACATTTTCAAGATAACACATACTGACAGTATACAGCTCTTCAGATTATTCAGCATAGATACAGAGCTAGACACTCCTTCAATGTGTTTCCAGCGTCTGCAAAACAGTGAGTCAGCCCCTAAAGGGCGACAGCATCTGTGTTTACATTCCACAAATCTTCCTCCATCGTCATGAATCATTTCGCCAAAGATGTCTTTGCACCTCCATTGGTTTATCAGCTGCATATCTCTTTGTCTAGCCAATCATGACCTTCTACAGGAAACCTGTGCTTCCACAAACCCTGAGATGATGCGGTCCTAAAGTATTCTGCGACCGCTAGTAGAAGTAATCTTGTTTAGCTGATGAAGCTGAAAAAAGAGGAATCAAATCTATTAAATTAAATACAAACCAGATTTTTAAATTGGTTAAAAGTGCAACTCAGTTTTCAAGTGACTTTTTGTCCTTTTTTAGCTAAGGGAGCAGAAACCTGAAACATATCTACATGTTCTCATGATTCCCGTCAGAATATTTTACATTTATGTGACTCCTCCATTCTGATAACGCAGATGCTGCCAGTTAAATGTGTCCTCAACCCCCCAAAACAGCCCACATGTTTACTATAAAACCTGTTCTTTAATAGTAGCGGTGATTAGACACGCAGCCTCAACAAAAATCTGATCTGTTTTCTTGTAAATGGCGATGTGCTGAGTCATCATTTAAGAGGAGATTTGACATCTGTTAATGAGCACACACTAGCTCGCCTCACCAGCTGCGCCAACATTCACCACCCAAAGCTTCCAGCCAGTCTCTCCACAGTTATAAACCTTGTCCCCCCCCCCACCCGCAAACAAACAAACACCCTCACCCCCCTGCACACAACTCCTTACAAGTGGAGGAGAGGAGAGGAGAGGGGAGAGGAGAGGGGGAGAGGTGGAGAGATGGAGAGGTGGCGCTCAGCGGGGGGCGTTTGGGGGTGAGGTTGAGCCATTAGAGGCAGTAGATTGACGACCTTAACCTCTCTCTCTCTCTCTCTCCTTGTTTCTCTTCCTCCACCCCCCACTCTCTAATGTAGGGTATCCCAGCCCTTGCTTGACCGCTGTGTGCCAGACTATACCACTTTCACCACTGTGGGGGACTGGCTGGACGCCATCAAGATGAGCCGCTACCGTGACAACTTCGTCAACGCCGGATTTGCTTCGTTTGACCTGGTGGCCCAGATGACAGCAGAGTGAGTGGAGAGGGAGTGGATTCAGCTAATCAGGGCTGCAGTGATTGACTGGGCTGAGTCGGAGAGTCAAATTAGTGTAAAAAAGATTGACCTTCAGGGAATAAAAATAGTTGTGTGGCTAAATGAAACTTGATAGGATGTGAAAAAAAGGCCCTGATGAGGCTGGGATATGAAACGGCTACTTTAAAGGAAATAAAACCACAGATTTCACTATGCTAGTACATTCAGCGGATGATTACAGTATGATTCAGGTTTAATTTTGCTTTTAACTTTTTGAAATAAGAGGTAATATTCAGACCTGTCAAATGAATTCGACTAAGTAAAATAGACTTGTTTCAAATGTGAAAATTCTGGATTTTCTTGCAACAAAATCTGCAAAAAGACATCAGTGAGAGGTTTCACCCGAGTGCAAATTGAGCAAACACAAAATCTGACATGCTCTTCCTGCACTTTAACACGTAACCGACCAATCAGGACAGGTTTGCTGTAGTTCAATTATGTAATCAGGATCAGGAACGGTAACAATCATCTTCTCCAGAATTGACCACATCAGACACAACAATCAACCAAACCCCCGAATTTAACATCCTAGGAGGAATTTTTGGCGAGTCCTTAGAGCTGTTTCCATAGTTACATCATCCAGTTAACCTTGACCACTCACCTACCGTCTGCTGTGTTTACAAACAGGAAATGATGTAATGGAAATCATGGAAATGAGAGGCTAGTGATGATCAAATAAATGAATTAGGATTATAATGATAAATAAATTATCCTCATTAGCGACATAATAGGCGATGGAGGTGGGGGTAATTTGTTTCAATTTGGCCAGGCTGACAGGTGTGGTGTACTGTGGCTCTCTGTTGCCCTTAATGGCCAGTAATTCCTCTAATGGTGCCCATTTATTATCATTTCATCCTCTACCGCTGCACCGATGGGGACGGGGAAATATGAAAAAACAGAAAACACCATTTATTTGTGTGAAATTGCGGTGATGCCCCCTTATTTGGCTTTGGAGAGGATAGATGGGCCGTGTGGATTTTTGTGTGCTTTCATGAACGTTAATGTGTGTGTGTGTGTGTGTGTGTGTGTGTGTGAGTGTGTGTGTGCGTGTTTGGTCGCACGCTTTTGCACAACAATAGATGGGGCCACAAAGTCATTGAGACAAGCAGAGTGGATGCCGTCTGTGTGTAATATTAGATTATCCAGTGTTTGTGTGTGCGTGTCTGTGTGACTAAACGGAGAGGACACAGACTTTCGCAAAGCCCCGACGGTCAGCTAATCACCGCCCCAGACGCCGTTCCCTCTTTAGCTAGCGGCCAGGGAAATCAAACATGGGAGCGGAAAAGAAAGGTTCACATGATATTATTGTAGTGTTAAACCAACATGGCCATGACTGTTGGGTTATTTTAACTAATGACAGCAAAGGCAGGTGTGTTCTCCCGGGCCTTTTAGAGGATGTAGGCATGTCAACTGTACGTCAACAATTTTGTGTTTTCCCACTGCACCCTCACACCGAGGTTCAAGTCCTTTACATACTCCTAAAAAAATCATGCTGAAGCTTGTGTTAGCCCTCGGCTACAGGAATAATATTCGCTCCTCAGCCGTAGTTTTTCTTGGACTCGTTCAAGCACTAAGGAACTTAAACTTTGAGTTTACTTAAAGCTGATTTCACAGAGCAATTCTAAGCATGACTGATGGGCTCTGTACTGAGTAATCGGTCGAGTATCTCACAGATAAAGATGATTTTCTGCTTCCCTGTTTCTATAGATAAATGGCAGGCTGGTGTGAAATCTGCCAGCTGCTGCACAGTAGCAAAGTGTCCTTTATAATCATTAACTATCACATTATGGTCCCATAACTCCCCTCTTCTTGCCCACCTGCCGGGCAACAGAAGTACGCTGCATTAAGATGGACAATCATTCGATGAGAATCCACATCTTGTTGACATATAAGTCGGCCGTTTCATGGATGATTGCCAGCCCACTCCTCTCGCCCTGTTCCCACCTGTTTGAGTGTGTTTACCTTGGAATAAAAAGTGAAATCTGCACCTCTTCAGACATGTGATGTTTGTTCTTTTATGACTAGACCACCTGTCCTTATTTTCTTCTTCTTCTTCCATCTCCCTCCACAGGGACCTGCTGCGGATAGGAGTGACGTTGGCTGGTCATCAGAAGAAGATTCTTGGTAGCATTCAGGACATGAGACTACAAATGAACCAAACACTTCCTGTCCAGGTGTGAGCGACTGGACACACACATCCATGCAGTCAAAGAAGGATAGCAAGACAGGAAAAAGGGTGGAGAGGAACTGTGCCAGAGAGAGCCATTGGAAAACCCTTGCTGCCTGACCCAACTCTGCCAATTTGACGCTTTGAAACTGGCTTGCAGTGCCTCTGACTTTGTTTTTTTCTTTATGTCACTACCACATCCATTTCCTGTTCCTGCTGTTTTTTGTAACTCATCATCGTTTCTTTGGCCATCCAATCAGATTTTTGTGTTTCTGAAAAAGGAAGAGGAATTGACCCCGCCCTTGTATCCCATGCGTGCCTCACCAGCTTTGGTGCAGGTTGACTTTTGCATGCATGTGTGTTTTTAGTGAGGTTGGCCTTAGCCCTGTAACTGAAGTGTCACGCTCCGATCCTCGTGCAAGAGCCCCTCCCCTTCACCTCTCAACCCAGCTTTGATGGACAACGTAAAGAAAAGACACCCCGCTGTGAGAAAGTGGACAAAAACTAAGAGGACGGAGGTGTTTTCTGGACAATTCTTCCCTGATATTTTACTGTGCACACGTGTGTCGTTCTCCATCTTCATATTGAAGGTGTGTTATCTATAAGGGCACTTGCTGGAGAAGGGTGAGGAGGTGAAGGAGAAAGAATTATTGGCTGGGGTCAAAGGTTAAGAAGATGACAGAGGTCTGGGAGGTCAGAGGACAGCAGCCACATTTTTAGACGTTTGTTTTGGCTGCAGAGTCCTCCACAGGTCACCAGACCTCTTCACCCTGACCTAATGTGACTCAGGATCGTTCCTCAGCTTGGGATCACCTGCTCATCAACTGTGTTTTTACACATGAAAATGTTGTTTTTGTTCGTCCACACCGCATTTTTTTCCTTCCTTTTTTTTTTTTTGGCTTTCTTTCATGTTTTGGGAGATTCAAAAACGGCCGGTCAAACCTGAGAAACCCCCCCCACTGGACACTTTCTGTGATGAAGTGGAGACAAGAACTGTGGCAACGCTAGAGAAAGACCACTTGGCCTTTTGTGTGTGTTTTTGTACGTGTGTGCGCGTATGTGTGAGTCTGTGTGCGTGATTTAGTGTGCTTGGATGTGCGGGTGTGTCAAGTTGCACATGAGTATACTGTACAATACGGCTTCCGCTATTTGCCACCGTGAGGAATTAACGCATGAACTGAACCGTGACAAGGAGCAAATATATCTGAAACAATTACGCTATATTCTGTGGACAACTGTTAAACCTTCTTTTTTATTGAATCCAAAAAATGAACTTAGGACATACACATATATATATATATATATAAATATATATATATATATGCATCATGCAGAAACAGAGAAACCTTGACGGACACCTTACTTTCTACTTACTATTATCTGGATTTAGAAATAATCAATTTTCCTGTTTTAATTTCTTGACACCCTGCCCTATGTATTTATTTGTACCTCACCCGTTAACCCTGCCCCCCCCAAAAACCAGCCCAGATGGACTAAAGGCCATTTGGGACAATGGACTTTGAACAATCAGAGGGGAGAGAAGCTTCCGAGAGGATCCACCCAACGAATTGATAATTATTAAACAAAAAGAAAATGCATATAAATTGGATATTGTATTTTTGTTGTTGTTCTAAACAGCCTGTACATGTTTTGTAACAAAAATATGATAAATAACAAAAGAAAAAATGGTGTTTTGACAAAAAAAAAAGGAAGTGCTGTTGTGAAATGTTTGATTCAGAGTGAAATTAACAGAAAGCAAAGGAAAGGGAAAAGGGGAGAAGGGGGAAGTCAGAGGATTTACATTACTCATGGTTGAATTTCTGGTACTAATGTGTCGCCCTTTTGCTCTCCGTCCATTGTTGTGTGAGTGCTTGTGAAGGTGTGTTCAAGTTTGTGTGTGTGTGCGCCGCCTAAAACGGCTTCCCAAATTCATCTTCGTCAATAACAAACAGAGCATTTGTGAAGCACTAAGCTGTTACAAATCGTCTTCCAAGCTCATTTTTTCAACTCAAAACCTCTTCATATCATCTCTGTGATCTGCCTACGTTTTAATGTACTTTTTTAGCCTCACTTCCAACAAGGGGATCCTCTTATCTATCTCATATAGGACTGTTAAGCCATTAAATAGAAGGTCCGTAGATAATTCAGCCTCCCTGCCAATCATTTCGATCACCAGACAAACTCACCTCCTTCATCAGGGAATCAGACCTGTCAGAACAGAAACCTATTGGTCTTTTTCTGTCCGCTCCATTAACGCAGCAGCCAATCAGGCGTTGGGAGGATACGCGCATGCAGACATACGGCGTCCTGGCCTATCATTATCTCTCTTCATTTCCTGTCTGGCCTGCAATCATCCCGTCTCAGCTCGGGCTGCTGCATGATTAGTACAGTGCAGGATCAACAGCTCGGGCACGCAGACAGACAGCAGAAATCTGCAGGCCTCCTCATCCTAAATGATAGCAGCTGCATCACGGAGACCAGACTATTTAGACTTCTCTCTGAGGGGTGTTTGAAGGTAGCGGATTAAAAGATGGGGCTTATGATCTTCCAGAGAGTCTTCATACTGTTTGGGTTGGAGCTGATCAATGCAGCATGTGAATATTATTAGTTAGGTGTGTAATGATAGCGTGACGTTAGCAACCATGCGGTGTCTTCCCATATTACTTTTGTCTGCCTCTCTTAAGTCCCTTCAAAAGTCATGGAGGATATTATGCAAAACCACAATGTGTTTCCCATTTGATAGTGTTTCATCTTATTCCACGTACAGACGTTTTCCACTATTGCCAGCACACTCTGCAAAGGGCTTACTAACCTGGAACAGTTGTAGGACACAATCATGTAGTAAATTCACTGTTGTGTGCTCAAACTAGACAGGAAATAAGTCGAGTGTTTCTTTATTCTTCCATCATTCAGATTTTTTAAAACAACAGAATGCCCTCCATCCTTATGTGAGAAAGTACTGAAAGTGCCTGTTAAATGAGAAAAAAAAAAACACGTTTTCTTGATACCTTTCTGCTGAATCTGTTTGTTTACCTCAACAGCGAGAGAGTATTTTGATTAGAAAAGAGCGACTAAGCTGGCTTTTGAGTTAAGAAAAGAAAAAAAATTAATGCAATCAGAGGCCCACTTTTACCCCAAAGTTCCAGGAATATACAGCATACATTCACTTCCCCTGCACTCAGCTCAATTATTTAATCAGCTCGTGTGCTTCACTGTCGCAAACGCTCATGTGACACCAAAAAAAAAGACACAGTTGATGAGCAGAAAAATAAAGAAAGGGGGGCATATGGGGAGCTAAACACAATCAGATGGCAGACATTCCCACTCATGAAAAATGGCAGTGCTTTGGAGCTTGCATGAACTATTGATGAGGTGCACATGGCGCACTGGGGTCTGGGTTTTGTGTTCACCGAAGTCAACCAGCCGTGAGTGATGAGTTCAACTGGCACTGTTGCACATTTTAAAACGATTAAACTGCCACCACATCAACTGCAAACCATTTATCTCTTAGTGGATTTTTCACACGTTCATGGGTGGGTTTCATTTCCAGCATCCACAGGACAGACAGGAACGCACTTCCTTATGTATGTGTGTGTGTTTTTTTCCCCATCCCTTTGCTAAAACTAAGATAGACTGTTATGTTTGTGTGTGTGTGTGTGAGAGAGTGTGTGAGGAATAAGGTTTGCCATTTTATACAGACTTAACTTTCATCCACAGAGTTAAAGCTTTGTCAGATGTGGTTATCGGTGTGTGCCAATAAGATTCGAGTTATCCCTACATTCCTCCCACCTTACTTCCCTTATTTTATATGCTCCACAGACCATACGATAAATACACCCTCCCCATCCTGAAACCCCCTTACTTACACAATCTAACTCTTTTCAGTTGTCTGTTTTTAATAAATATATACATTTCTGTCTTTTTCTTCTCCTGTCTTTTAACAAACTCACTCCACATGTCTTTTTTTGTCACTTTTGAGAGCCCCCTCTTCATGCAAGGAAGTTTTAGAGAGTACTGTACATGTATAGCGAAGTGGAAAAGGGAGGGAGGCGGAATAAAGCCGAGAAATGCAATTGTTAATTCCTCTTTGAAAAGCATTAAGATGTATTTAATGGTGCAGACATACACAGCAAATTACTAAAAAAAAAAAATGATGATGCATTCTTGTAGAAATATTTTTAAAAGACCCTTTTGCAATTAAATTATTTAAGAAATGTGACCTGATCTCCTGACTGAGTCTCTCTGTTGTGTTTTCATTTGAAGTACGAATGCCAACACGTAATTGCACACATGTTCTACGGTCCAGTACCAGCCCAAGACAAACACATTCAGTCTCACTGCTTATCATTCATGGCCATCTCCAGCTCTTTTAATCATTACCACTGCTTCATGTAGTTTTTCTGCAGTTACAGTATCTCTTGCCAAAAGTAGCACCAAATCCCCATTCCTCAGATTACAATCTGCTTCAGACAAACGCACCGCTCTCCTAGATTTAACTCTCCATCTTTCAGTTAATGTCCTGAGTTTACCTGTTCACAGGAATCGTTCATTTTTCATCCAAACCTCTCTGATTTGACGCTTTTATTTCAGACAGGTTAAGGTTGCATTATCCCCCCCTGCCTTAAAAAAAGCCTGAGGACATTTGGAGTAGCACTGTCAGTAAAAAAACAGATATTTTTTTTTGTAATCCAGTCTTTCTTTTTTATAGCTGAAGGCACCTGATGAATAGATATTGATTCTTAGGAGAAGGTATCAGGAGTTCATCTATTTCTAAACCCCCTTCAGTGGCGAAGTCTTCTGCCGTTATTGAAGTTGTTTCAGTGAGTTAAAAACCAATGTTCTGAAGTAGTATGCCAAATTTAGCCATGTAAAATGACTGAATACAAAAAAAGCAGCACATTCCAAATTAAACATATCTCAGGCATCAAAAAGAGGTCAACATGCTTCCAGTCTATCAAGTTCACGAATCAAAAAGTTCGCAATCCTCTGTGGAGCTGTGTCACGACCATGTTAACACGAAAACTCCCCATATTGTCTTTCAAGCTCACTAATTTATATGAGCTCCACTCATCTCTGCAGGCGGCGAGCCAACAGTCTTGTTTTCCAGCTTTAAAAAAAAAAAAAAAAAGTGGGGGAAGGATGCTCAGATCATAGATTCTACCTCATCCTCCCCTCTGCGCGTCCCCTGGCTCGCCTCATCTCCCTCTCCCTGTCCAATTAAATTCAGAGCCTTGCATCGGGTGGTCTCGGTGTCTGGGTAGAGCAGATATTTTCGAAACGTTCCCCCCTAGATGCACTCTGCAAAGTTTCAACCGAGGATTATTTGGGGTTTTTATGCTACAGCAGACAGAATAAATTTGATCTCAAATCTCTTCCACTTTTACAGCTTCTCATCCTCCATTGTTGCTGCCAGATGATGGACTCAGTTTCAGTGATGGTTCAGCACCATTTCGGAAACACACACTCACTATTTTTCTCCCATCTTGTTTCTATTTTTCCAGCAATTGAACCGAGAGAACGTGAAAACCTCACGCAATGAAATTAAATTAGCCACAGCCCCAACGTGGAGACAGACTGAGGACCATTTTATAGGGTTTGAGTTGTTTTGACTAGTCCAGATAGCTGCTGCTGCTGCTTCATCGCTCAATACAGTAGTGTAATCTGTCAGGTTGAAGTATATATGGACACATGCCAAGATGAACTGGAACACTGCATACTTTCCTACGGCTGTTGACACTGTGTCACATTTCTCCGAGCTGGTGGATATTGATTGTATGAGGGCGTGTTTCATCAAAATATGTCATGCAACGCCAAAGAGAATTATTAAGACGTCAATTAAGATCAATCTCTTATCCCTATACCTGGTCAGTGAGGCGGCATCAGCATGAATATCGCTACGTATTAGCATGTCTTAGCCACATGTCGGTCAGGAGGAGGATCAATGCAGGACATGATCACACAGCAAAAGAAGAAAAAAAACAAGATCAGCTCCCTAACACCCTCCTCACCCTCTCCTTCCCCCTGGTTTCCAAAGCCAAACTGTATCTCCCTTTATTCTCTCTTATTCCCCGCAGACTATCCCTCACTTCCCCCACATCTCACTGGGTCCCTTCAACACCCCCACACCCGTCTTCTGTCTACTTTTTCATCCTCTCCCATCTCCTCCGCCATAATCCCTTTCTTTCACTTTAGCTTGGCACAGCTAATTGGTCACGTCTGTACTGTGACATGGGGACCTGACATAATTGCTGGACAAATACTTAGGCGTTTAGCTTCGGACCTGTCTCAGCTAAGCTGTACACAGACACCAGCCGACTGGAAAGCCTAATTACCACTCCAGCCCCGCTACTTGCTAATTGGCAAATACTTTCAACAAAGAAGTATGTGTGTGTGTGTGTGTGCCTCCTCATTTTTGTGTGTTTGTGTGTTCGCATTTGTATCCTTCTTTTAGTAAAAGCTTCTATGGGATTCAAAAAAAAAAGGAGAAGATGCAAAATAATGAGTATGGCCCCAAAGTTTCACCAAAATGTGTCATTAACTTTTCTTAAATTGCATTTCCTCCGGTCACGTGTGAAGTGTCAGTCTCAGCGTGTCATAAATCACATTTAGTGGTTTTGTCTCCTTTCTCTCTGTGTCAGCTATGCTAATTAAATCGAATGTTTGATTAGCTTAGCTCAGTATAAATGTTTCCCACACGTCATGCCTTTTTCTCAACAATCTGTTTCTTTAACACACCCAACATATGATCCCACTTATAGACCTAACTGAACCAAATTTACATCCCGGGGTTAATTTAGCAATTCTTTAATTATGCAGCACTGATTTCAGCGTGTTTCTTCATTTGTTTTTCTTGGCCTCTAAGCCAGTCAGTGATAGAAATAAATGGATTCTGGCACTGAAAAAGAAAAGTTGAAAAAATAGATTTCTATCATACTTTAACTGATAAACTGTGATTTTTGAAACCATTAGCCTTCCTGCTGTGTTAACTTTTACTACACAACCGCTATGCTAAGGGTCGGTTTTGACCCATGTTTTAAATCAGTTGTAAACTACACTAAAAACATTTCTCTATCATCCAATTTCATTCTAGTCTCTAGGTAACCTTGTTGGGATTCATTATTCATGAAAATATTGATTATAATAGTTTTTGTAGTGGTCCTCTGGGCCTTTCTTTGTCAGTATACCCCTCATACAGATATCTATACTGAATTGATCTCACATGTCTGGACATGCCTGGTGTTGTTTTTTGTGAAGGGTAAAACATGGAAAAATGAGAATTTCCTAGATCTCACATGACTGGAAGAGGATCTGACTCTCAATGTGTTTCCTGACAGTGCACTAATGATTTTAGTTTTTGCTCTGATTATTAGATATTGATCTAACTGGGTCAATAGCGAGCACTTTGTAAGCTTCTGTTTTTAAAGGTGCTATATAAATAAAGTTATTATTATTATTAACAGCGGCCCTAACATGACAAGTGCCGTAATTTTAATAAGAGCATTTTATAATTTAGTCAATTTATTTTTTTTATTTCTATTTAGTTGAAATAGAAGTTCCTGACAAAGTCAAAAATCTTGATGCAAAAAAGCTATTGTAAGCATTTAAAATCAAAAACATGTCGGTGCAGACCCTAACACAGGAGGAGGGTAAATTTTACACTTAGGCCACACAGTAAAATATTACTTTAAAGTATTCCTACAAGAGAGAGATGAAGTTTTACTCCTTCAACTGCTATTAACATTTCTAGTCGATTACACAGAAACATCACAAAGGATTATCCGATTGCAAAACCCCTAAAATATTTGACCACCCGTTCACTTCACCCCCTTCCCAAAAAAAGGGGACCCGACCTTTTCTGTCCCAGAACAAGCATCCTATTGTTAGGTGTTTGGGTGCAGCTGCACAGTCTCTCTGTCTGATGGGTTGAGCAAGTCTGCCACAGAAACAATATTCCACAGGACTGCGCCCGGGAAAACCGTGAGGTGACCTGGAGTTCACGGTCAAAGCTGGACAGTTGGTGGGAATCTATCACATGTGAGACGTATGGTGGCCTTCAGGTACAGCGGGGCCATTGAACAAGAACATCAAAACACTGCTGTGGAAAGATAAGATGTCCTCGCCGCTGCTGTTATCAAGATAGAGCCTTAATTTACTTTAAACAGAGCGTAATACCAGCAGCACGAAGCATTAATCACACGGCAGCGTGAAACTGCGCTGACGTTAGCCTGCTGCTCAGGGGAAAGGAGCTCACACGTACGACAATGCACACATGATGCTCGGTGAGATAATGAGTTTACTTTGGTCTAGTTTCACGCTGAGCTCGTATCCTCATCGAGGTTCAGCAGTAGGGGTGTATTTGCAGGAGTTTGATGCACTGTTGTATTTGATTGAGGCTTCAGACATATTGACAGAAAATAGTGTTGAGTGAGTTTAACCATATGATGTTTATCTGCACCGTCTTGAAATACTTCACATGATGGGGAACTTCAATATATAGGCAGAACAATAAGTGCTGACTTTTATTTGGATAATCTTTTAGCCTCCAGTTGCATATTGTTGTATCTGAATTGTTGTGGGAAAGATTGTTCTCCTCTGAATGAATATCTACTCTAATTATTTTCACTTTAGTTATTATAATTGTGAAGTAAATATACCAGTAAGCATCTGTTCACTGCTACTTCTTTGATGGGGATAATCTAGCTACACCATAGATAATTTTGGTCCCAAGCTAAGGATAATTAATAGCCAGTGTTTTGCTCTCACAAAAGACGGTCATGACATTGCCAAGTCGAGGTCATTTTTTCTCTCTATTGGTGTCATCGGTAGGCATGAGGGGAAGAGCCTTGTTCCTGCCTGACATCTCATTAACTGCTTGTCGATATTTATCAGTCTTAATCAGAGCTCTGGCAGGTCTGCTGTGATTACTTCCTGGGTGTGAAAGCAATCACACCTCGTCCTCCCCGCTGTCCTTGATTTACAGAGGGAAAAAAATAGTCTAGCATGTACGAGGAAGTTTCCGAGGGCAGCGTAATAAGAAGATGGGATCAGAAAGGAGAGTTTTTGACTTAAATCTCCTTATAGCAAGAAAATTGCACAGAGTTGGCTTCAGGTTAAGTCAGGTTGTATAATGTTCACAATAAATGAGGTGAAGGTTTTTTTTTTTGCAGGAATGCGACACATTAACTGGCAGCAGGACTTTCATTGGGAATTAAATTTAGGATGGGATTTCCCCATTAAGACAAATATTTAAATCTAATATATATCATTTTTCTTTTGAAAGGGATAACTAAATTTAAACATGCATGAATAGAACTCAAATTGCAATATTAGTTTGTAGTTTATTGCAATATAGTATTGAGCTTACATCAATGTTTTTTTTAAATCTTGCGTTGATTTTTTAAATCACTAATTATAACTAAATCAGAAAAAGTTGTATAAATAGCCAAAAATGTTAAAAAAAATAAAACTAAAAATAAACTAACTAACCAACGAACTAACTAACTAAATAATAATAATAAAATAATAATAATAATAATAATAATAATAATAATAATGATAAATATTTTTTTAATGTAAGGTAAAATTTGCCCTTGCCTATTGATGTTTGATGTGTTTTTAAGTTTGCATGTGCTTTTCTTTCCTTACTTGAAGATCAAAAGTGACCAATCCTGTCCTCTCTATTTAGACGTGCCGAACAGTTTTGAACAAAGAGTATCAAGTTTCATATCACCTTTAAATAGCAAAGTTCTTCACCGTGGGATGAATAAAGGTTTATATTATCTTAGGCAGTGGACAAAATGATCAACATGTAGACAGTATGCAGAGGATAATAAAACAATCCTTAAAACAATCTGAGCATCAATGAAAATGATAATACTGTTTGTAAATTTCTATATTGAGCTGACAGGAAGCAAAAGATACCCAGAAAAGGACAAAAACAAAAAATATATAAATTTGAAACCATGCACCAGATTTGCAATCTGTGAAATACGAACTGCAGTTTAATCCAACGACAAAACTCTGATTTATTATGATACATATAGATAGATTATGCTATAAATGTATATTTTAAAATAGTTTTATACACTTACTGTGTGGTATAAATGATGATAAGATTTAAATGACTTCATAAAAATCAACCTGAAGAAGAAATCATTTTTGTCGACACTTAAATCTGAAGTCAGTTTTATCTACCGTCCGGTGTCCCGTTTTACCCCTTGACCTAACGAAGGACCTCTAATGAGGCCAAAGTGAAGGAGTCTAATTTCAGGCGGCAGGCACACAAAGGTGAATCAATGGGGGGTGTTGGATAATGCGCTAAAAATTCCTGTGGGCCGTGCAGCTGTGTTGTTTCGTAGGCTTGTGAGGTGTTCTTTGTGTGGGACTAAGTGTCAACTCATTACGAACTCGACTTCACCTCCCCACACTGCCAGTGACCTGTAAGCACGATGAGTTGTCGCAGAAAAAAAAAAGGGCAGAGGATGAAAAAGTGCAGCTTAATTTTGATTTAAAAACAGCGGGGAACTCAACAGTGTTCTTTGTCCGATAAAATAACACTAACCGTGAAAATGGGACACCTTCCAATCTTCTAGATTAAGACCAACGATGTATGTCAAAAATATCTTACCAGTTATATTTGTTGCAATCGCTCTTTGATATTTCTCCAATCACGTCGTTGGACTCATCCTTACGACCTACCACAGCCAGTTCCCTTATCACAAAGGATTCTGATTGGACAAAAAATGACCGATATGTGACACCGCCCGCAGCCAGACGTTCGCTTCGTGGCGGCCGGGGTCATACAAAGGCCAGATCGTGATGCATCTTGGGTAAAATGTGTCCTCTTTTCTACGAAGGAGGAGGGCAGTTGTGAAAGGGAAATGTAGGACAGCTGGTAAACAGAGAAGCCATCATTCTGTTTAACTAGACACAGATTTAAATAAACCAATCAGACATTCACGCTGTAGGGATAGTTGTTGTCCTCATGCTACACCAGTGATCGCTGTGTTTAATCGCTGTATTGAGGCAGGCCTAAACACACAGTGCTCACATATCGCTCATTAACAAAGATTTGCATCAGGCCTAATTTAGCAGAGTGCACTATCAGGATGTAAATGGTGTCCAATAAAGAACAATAAAGGCTTTCGATAGAGGCGTAGTTAGTGCGGGCAATTACCTCTCATCACATTCTACATCGTTAGAGCCGTCATATTAAACACATGGAAAATGTGAAGTAAAGACTACGCTCCACACATCAAAGGCTGCCCACAAACTCAGCTTCAGTAGTAAGATTAAGTGCGCTAATTTGTGCTGCATTATATGATGATGATGCAAGCGTTGATGGAAGAGGGAGAAAATGTCAGCCAAGAGGGGAAATAGCTGAAAGAGCTTGCATTACAACATTGATGTCCTGTGTGTTCTGCAGTCCTTTTCTACACTTAATCCTCCTCTCTTTAATCCTACACATGATGATTAAGAGTATACCGTATTGGTTTGCAAAAGCAGAGGAAGCTTTAATTACAAAGCCACTGATTTTCAGCTATAGCTTTGGCAGTAATCAGTGTGCTATAAAAGGAAGAAACTCAAATTTCCGTGCGAGTTCTTGTTGTTATTTTGATTATCCCCAACTCTCAGGTGAAGTGTCGTCATTGAACTACACAGGCTATGATTTTTGCCTCCTTGAGATGATTGCTGCTCCACCAGATTCTATCTATCTGTAAGGCTGTGTGTGGTCATACCTCTGACTGTGCATGTTTACTTTTTTCCCGTCTTCACACTCAGCTGCAAAAGTGTGCGTGTCTTCAGAAGAAACGGTTTTGCTGTGTTGACATGAACACCATCCTCCCCTGACGAGAGCAGAAAAAAGGATTAGCGGCAGGTTTAAGAAGGGAAAAAAAAAAAAAAAAAACCTCAGACATGCTTGACAACAACAATACAAGCACGCCCACTAACGCACATGCTCCAGTGGTCGGGTGTGATGTGATAAAAACCATCGCATCAGCTGAGAGGCATGGCAGACAGTTGAAAAACATGAACAGACACAGCATAATCCATTAGCTATCACTTACATTGGCACCTGCACCTTATAAAAGGAGGTCAAAAGCCCTAATGTATATTTAATACCGTGCATTATCCAATTTGTTTTGTTACGATGTTACGATTTCATTTGTCCAAAGAGGTATGCGTTTGAGACGAAGTACAACACAGGCAAAGATCCAGACAGAAGACTGAAGGGAACAACATTCGTGAGTGCCACTAACTACTTCAAGGCCAAACAGACGCAGGTGCTGACATGCACTGCTAGAGGCAAATCACTACGTCTACAGAAGGAGCCTTTTTTGTTTGTTTGCTAAGAATCACAATCACTTAGCATCTGCAACAAAATCATCATCATGAGGAAACCTTTACATCATCAATGCCGTCCCCATCCACACGATCTTTGATCACATAGAGCTGAGTCTAAGACTTCCTCAGAGGTGGAGACAGAGGAGAAGAGTCTGGCTGGTGACTAAGGGCCCTGTTCAGATAGGAAGATAAGATGCCTTTTACTGGCAGAGCGGAGCAGGATGGAGGAAGTGTTGACCTGGATGAGGGATTTTCATAGCTGTTTGTAAACAAGGCTTAGGGTTTTGAATTTGATGCAGGATACAACTGGAGGCCAGTGGAGAGAGATAAACTGTGGAGTTTCTACGAACTGCTGCTTTCTGGATCATCTGCAGAGGATTAAATGTGCATGCAGAGAGGCCCACCAGTAAGGAGTTGCAGTAGGTTGGGCATGACATACCGAGAGCTGTACATGTTCTGTCAGGTAGAGTCTGATCCCCCTGATGTTGTACAGGGTAAGTCAGCGTGATTGAGGTATCCAGGTCAGAAGAACCTTAGAAGTTAGCTGATCATCAATCATGACACAGAGATTTCAAGCAGACTCATTGGTCATGGGTTTTGTTGATTCAAGATGGATGTTGATCTGTGGTTGGATAGATGGGATGACAGAAATTATGAGCTGCTCAGTCTTGGATGGATTGAGCTGAAGGTGGTGTTTTTTCATTTATTCAGCAAGTCATGATGAGATCACAACCAAGGTTGTCGAGCCATCTGGTAGAAAAGACAGGATATCACCTGCATAGCAGAAATGTGAGAGTGAAGAATTACACCAAGTAAAGTTGTGAATATTATAGAATGAGGAGGCGGCTTAGTACTGACCCTTGGGGCACCCCTTTTGATAGACCATATGATCCGGACACCTCTGTGGTACTCTTTAAGATCTCCTTGTGAGGTAGGACAAGAACAGTAAAGAGCAGATCTTAAGATATCAAGCTCAGAGAGTCTGAAGAGGAGTAAATGGTGGTTCACTGTGTCTAAAGCACCAAATAGATCCTGCAGCTGCAGAACTGAGAACTGACCATCAACTCTAGCCAATCACACTGATTCTGTTATCGACAGTTTCAAACAGAGGGTTGTTGTGAAATAACTGCAAGACCTGGCTAAAAGGCTATGAATTTAAGTATTTTTAAAGGTAAAGGCAGGAGGAAAATGACTTTCAATCTTCACTCCTTGGTTTCAAAAATACTTCCCTAACTTTATCACTGTTTAACTAAATGAAAACGTCTCCTAGTATCTTTGTAATGTATTATTCTCTGTCATCTGCTGCGGAAGCTTATTTTCTTTTTGTGTTTTTTTTTTTCTATAATCTGAGCCAATGGGAGCATGTAAATGTTAAACATCTGCCCAGATACAGAGATACCTAAAGATACAATGGTACTAGAGAATTAAAAATGTTCTCTTTCACCAAAGTTTTACCTTCTACAGCTGAAGTGTTTCTCTAAAACTTTGACGCTTTTGTGAAATTTCAGGCATGTGCAATATTCATTTATTCATAAGAACAGCACAAAGTAACAAGGTTAAATACCTCAATTGCAAACATTTGTCCTGAATTGTGTGTATAAGAGTGATTAAATCAATGATTTTCAAGTTGTGCTAAATCAAAAAAGTTTCACATCAAAAAGTTCACATCTCCTTGCTCAAGAGTGGAAACACAGAAATAACAGGGTAAGTTTTCAAGGTAAACAGACATCTTGTAAGCCTTCCTTGTCAGACACAGCAAATCGTTGTGGACCACAGCCCCTCTGGTCAAAAGCTTAATCCTTAAACTAACTTGCCACTGTTTAGTAGAGGTAATGTAGCAGTGGTTACCGGCTGAGTTGATTTTACCTCAGGACACACACCTCACAGGACTGGTGATTATTGCAAGACCTTATTGCTTCTGCCTGGAAACATTTTCCCCTCACACGCACATAAATTGTTCACAGAGTTGCACGCACACACACACACACACACACACACACACACACACACACACACACACACACACACACACACACACACACACACACACACACACACACACACACTGTATGCACAAAGCGCATACATTCCTGCACACAAGAGCATGCACATTTCACCTTGAACACAAAGATACTGATGTTTCTCCCAGAGGACTTTGAGAACAGCGGAGGGGAATTGAATCGATTTGATGATAGTGGAGAAGTGGCGATTATGGTAATATGTCTTTGTTATGGCATATAGAGAAGAAAAAAAAAACACAGCTAAGCTCTAAAGAGGGACGCTAATTTCTCACTGCTCTCCTCTTTTGTTGCATACGCTTTGATCCCCCACGACTTTATCCCCCCCTCGTCTGTTGCCTTCATTTTAATCCTCATCTCCATCTGCCCCCTGCTTCAGGGGTCAAAAAATGGTCAAAGAGTTCAGCCCTGGTGAGAAATAATGACTTACAGTAGGTTTGTTGTTGCTGTTTATTCCCTCAAGCATGTTTTCATTTCTCCACCTCTCCCTGTCCCTGTGTCACTTTCTCTGCGGTCAGATGATGAGCTCCAATATTCAAACTCCTGTACTATTTTCCATGCTAAAAAAGGATGTGGAACGGCCATGCACTCCTCAGCACTTTGAAAATAAGCATGCATGGTGGTTTAACAGTCTTGCTGGCTTGTATTTTGAATTATCTGTAAACATGACATACAAATCCTCTCCGTCACTGATACAAAATATCAGATACAAATCAGACTAGATAGTCGAGTTGATAGTCAAGGAATGACTTTTTTTTTTTTTAAAACAAGCAATGTTTCCTCTCTAAAAGTGGTTATATTTTACCCATCAGCCTTTGTTTTTTTTTTACACTATTCTAAAGCCTTCAAATAATGCTCAAGGTAAATATCAGGTCATTTCCTGTTTTATTTTGTAGTTCTTATCTTGTGTTACTTCCTGTTTTGTTTTTTCATTCTCGAGTGTTTAATTCTTATTTCTTGTGTTACTCTGCAAAGTCGTTACTCTTGTGTTACTGTACTCTTTAATTCCCTGTTTTATTTTGAAAGTTCTTGACCCTGTGTGTCAGTTGTGGTTTACTTCCTGTCTTTGTGTTTTTTTTCCCTCCAAAATTGATTGCTCCTCATTTGTTTCACCTGTGTCTTGTGACCACACCTGGGTTTAATTACCCAGTTTGGATTTCGTCTCTGTTTCCTCCATGTTGTGTCAGCTCCTTGTGTGTCTTCCAGTAAGTGCCTATGGTTCACTTCTTTGTGGGTTTTTGTGTAGATTCCCAGTTAATGTAAAGTTGATCCCAGAACTTTGAATGAGTTTTTTTGCAAGTTGTGTGCTCTTGTGTCCTCTCCCTTTGTTTTAAACTGACATCGTGACTCAGACAGACAAGTATCTTGCTAGCCACACAGAAAAGTAACACACAGAAAATTATGTTTTAGCAGTAAGTCTAATCTTTAGATTCTACCAGTGTGTATCTAACAGAGCCTATATACTAAACGGCTAAGACTTTAACTAGTTCTCATTAACACATCTCCACTGTCACCACAAACACATAAAAACCCACTACACTACACATCGACTGTGATTTTTTTTTGAGTTTTTCAGTGTGAAAGCAAGAGGGCCTGTCTTGGTAGTAAATACAGGTATGGGCTGTTTTGCTCTCCTGTAAAGTAAGTCTTTTTTTTTTTTTCTTTCTTTTTTTAAAGGGACTGAGCTGCAGCACATGTTCATTCTCAACACTGCCAACTGTGATGAATAGCTTTCAATCAGGCCACAAAATGGGTTCAAACACCTCTTGGAAAGGGTTTAGTCGCATAATTGCTCTTCAGAAGAGAGGCTATTCGGAATACTCTGTCTGAAAATGTATTACATTCTGATAGGATTCATCAGCGGCTAGCAAAAGAAAAACATTTAACCTTGTGAGAGATTGAAATGTCTTTTTAACACATTTTTAAAATAATTTGCTGTCACCTACGCTCAGTGGAAGTAAAAGTTAATTTGTGTGAGGTTTGAAAGTTGTCGAGGTTAGCGAGGACAATGTGGACTGAGAAGCTGGAATGAAAAAAAACTTGTATCTGGAGAATTTAATCACAGTAAAGAGGAAAGAAATGTTTTTATGACATTAAGGATACTCTCGCTCCTTTTTATTGCTGCCTGCTAAAATTAGTGAACCTTCTAGCTGTGTGGTTTGTAGAAAGTGACCAGTAAATTATGACCATTTTAACAAAAATATCCATGTCCAAATGGTGCCAAATGATCATAACTGTGTCACCTCTAAAAACAAGAGAAAATAATCATTTTTAGGAGAAATACCTGCATTATTCTTTTTGTAGGATGTTTCCTGGAGGTGAAAGGCAAAACTGCTGTACTTAATTTTTTGGGTACAGTTACATTTTAATGCAAAAAAGATATGTGAAATAAAATGGATAGGAACCCTATAGATTTTATCTTGTTGCTAATTTCTTATTGAACTGCTTCAATTGCATTAATCTATCTGTAAATACTGTCCATTTGTGAAAAATACTTGTGCAGTTTGATCAATAAAAAAAAGATTAGCCCTTTAAACGGCAAAAAAGATAACTGCCTTCAAAAGCCGCTGCCACTCTTTTCTCACCTTTGCTGCTGAACTCGCTTTTGTGCCAGTAAGTGAGCACAATTTAACCTGTCCTAAACCAGTTAATCTGATAAAGACAGGCGTGCCAGCTGGCATGGCGGGAAAAAAAGCAATCCCATTCCATCTTCACTTAGCGCTTTAAACGCTTGCCCGGCCATGCCACACAGTGTCAGCATGCAGACATGCTGTGCCCTGTCCTGAGGCGATCAACCTGCTCTGGAACAGCAGGATGGAGCCACATCCTCTCTGTGAGCCTCGGGCCAGTAATCAAAACACACCCAACCTCACCACAAAGCTATTAAATTAATGATAAGAGGATGTTTAGTCGAGCATTTTTTCAGCTTGTGGTTATAGAGACAAAAAAAAGTAACAAAAAGTAAATTGCTGTTCATTACACTCCAGTTTACCTTGGCAGCCATTGAATGTCACTGAGTTGTTGTAAGAAGTGCGTGACTGCTATGAGATGCTGTCGCTTCAGGATCTGAATCTTAAATTAAAAATCAAGGGGTGCAAAATATACGTGGAAAAGAGACGTTTCAACAAGTCTGTTATAATTTTAGTCGAAGACGGGTAAAATCAGAATCTTACTCATGCAATGCAGAAAAAAACACTTCAACTGAATTCATAATGAAATCTGTTTGATAAATAATAATCTATTTGTTGTTTATATTTTGAATTTTTGTGTCTTTTTTTAGCATGGAGGTGGCTTCCTGGAAAAACGTAAAGGAATGGGATTTTGGAAGTTGTTGCAGTTCATTTCGTGACGTCCTCGCTACCATGTGGAAGTGAAAACTTTGACTTCAGGTAAGGATTTATTTTGGCTGAGAGACATTCAAAAGTAGAGAACTCTGTACATTATTTGCTGCTTAAAAGAAAGCCCGGGTGGTTTTTTTCTTGCTACTTGGAACTAAACATTGTGGGATATGTCAAAATACATTTTCGTGACAAAAGGCTTTGACCAATAGGGAATTGAATACATGGCACTGGCTCACATTTATGTTTATAAATTCTTGGTCATTTTGTTAAATACTATACATCAAGGCAAAAATAAAGAAATTTTCATGGTTTGCTATGGTTAAAGACTGGGCGAACTTAGCCAGAGCTGCTTTCGTGGAATGAGTGGGCTGCATATTTAGAGCCCGTCTCCTGTGTTGAAACTAGAGCAGGGTTGAAGCAGAGATAGGTCAGACATGAGCTGACACTGTTGGCCGTCTGCACCAGCAGGGGAACATCATGAGGTCATAGCAACTGGAAGAGTGGCGCCAGAGGTTAGCATGTCGTACGGCTCTCAGGGTGTGCAGGACATGTTGTGCCCTTGCACCTCAGGGTGCTCTGTTCACGGACATGCAATCAACTATACCCTCACCTTTGAACCTCAAGCCCTCCCTGGTCTAGACACATCTGATTCTGGTTACTCACATGGCCTTCAGGGACTAGGGTTAAAGGTAAATCGATTATGGTGAATATTTTAGTGTCATCACAACATCTGCAAAGCTCACTGAAGAAGAGCTGTAAAAAAAATCTTCTGGAAATGTTAGAAAACTGTGGTTACTCTATTTTCATTTGTTTGTTTTACTTTCTACACCAAGTTGTAGGTGTAAGCTGTCGATGTTTGACAGTGATACCGAAAAAAACAACAATGCTGCTTTTGTAACTATGACAAAGAGAAATATCAGGGCGTGTGTTTTCGGGGGACTGATTTCTTACCTTATGTGTCTGTGGTTGTAATTTAATGCAATAAATAAACACACTGTGACATTTATTCAAAAGATAAATCAAAGATTTTATTATGACAGCATAAAAGAACCTGATCTACAACTATTCCACCTTTGAAACTCAATATTCTACACAACTCAATATTGTTTCATTCGCCTCCTTCAAAGACTACTACATTATCCAGAGCCATTACCTACCTCTTTCCAATTCAAGCTTACTTTGCCCCAAAGTGGAATAAAACACGATTAATGATTTCAATTACTCTGACCCTGCTTGCCGTTTACAGTGCCTGCAGTCTGGGGGAGGGAGCTGCGCTGCATAAAAGCTGGTGGTGAAGGACATTTACTAGGGGAATGATTCAGTGAGGGGACTGGCGGTTTGTGCTGGCTCATCAGCAGGGGAACAGAGCTTCTCTTTGTGCTGGAAACCGTCTTATTGCTCCGCTCAGAAACCACATTGAAGTCTCATGCTAGCCTGCCTTTCTCTTTGACGTTCATCAGGATGGGATACCTTTGCTACGGCTGATCCATCTCACAAAATGTCAATGAACACAAATCTATCAGTGTAAACAATGTGAAACCTTCCATAGCAAAATGCAGGGCAAACCTCCCCATTGAAAACCAGCTTTCAAAATATAATCCTGAGTGATGCCTAGATGCAACAATAAAGGATAAATTGAATCACCCACTTGCACCCCTTACATCTCCTCACTCTGTGTGCATGCATGCAGCGAAAGAGTGCTCCTTCCATTTCTATTAATTTACATAGATTTGATTTTTAGAGCTTTAAAAAAAAATTTTAAACATGAATGATGGGGAGAAATTGTTTTCTAGCATCAGTTTTGTAATATGTCATAATGTAATCCCATTCAGCAAAGTGCAATGTTTATCTAAAAACTAAACCTGTTTGAATTTACGGATGTTGCCAATTTTAGATTATTAGTAAGCACAAAATCGTTGTCTTTAATTAAAGACTTGGTTTAGAAAAGAGATGAAAAAACAGTAAAGGACAAATTGGAAGAGGATGGTGCATTTCCTCTGGGTTTGCATTTGAATGTCACCCATACTAAATGTGCATGCACTTTCATAGCTGTAAGGTCTTTTGGATGAAAGCAGACTGTATGAAAAGAAGATGCTCGGAGAATATGTAAAATACTTAAAGAGCTTTCACTTGAGAGCGATGGGGGATGCTTTTGTTTGGCTGGAGGTCAAAAACCTAATACCTTTTTTTATTTTCATCTTTATAGACAGGCTGAGGAGTTGCAGGTATGGCTTGTGATCATCCTCAGTTAGAAAACCCTTAAACGTCAAGATTGCTCAAGGACATATTTAAAGCTGAAGAGTGAAAAGCATGCATGTACTTACAGAGACCAGGTAGGCTTGTAATAGGTTTTCTTAATTACCTGCACAGCTTCTCCCAAGGCTTTTAAAAGGGACATAATACTGTTTGATCAGAGATGTTTGGATTCCATTTTTCTTAAGTTTGATACTTTGATTTGCAGAATCACAAAAGCCAACTACTCTGATACAAGGTTATAAAAAAGGCTGATAGAGACAGAAGATGTTTTGGAAGGTTGTATAGTGTGGTATTAAGTTTGGTATTGGATTGGTGCCTTGACCTTCGTATGAGGTTGGTACCTGTACTGGAGGAACACTTCCTACAATAGGGCTGTTGCAATAAACTGGTATTAACAATAACCTTATTTTTACATATGAAATACTGGCATCATGCTAAAAAAATAAACATATGGTAATGGCACAAGTTCATGGTAGTGGTCCCTTTTGCTGGTTGCCATAAGTCAAAATAAAGGAGAGATAAAGAAGAAGCAGACGACTCCTAGAGAGCTAGCTGAAGCACCTCTCTTGTGAAGCTCATGTTTAAGCACTATAGTGAACCTAAAAACATTTGAGGCTTAATCCTTTTTTGGATTACTTATCATCTGAACTTGTATACTTTCTAGTCGTCTTTTAATTGCTTTCATTTAGTTCTGTTACTCATGATTTCCCAAATAACATACAGAGAACGAATCAACCAAAACCTAAGATGGGGAAAACTGTCAAAATAAAAGCACGGCGAACGATTGTTTAGTGGAACAATGTAATAGAGAAGTTTTTCTTAGGGGTAATAAATCATAAATTTTAATATTACTTGAATTGGATGATGACATGTAAGTTAATTGTGTTAATGAGTTAAGTTTATGAAAATTGTGTTGCTCCACCCTTGCCTGTCTTTTCTACATTTGACTAGTTATGTCTGTTTTTATGTTAAAGTTTTCGGTAAATATTGCGATTATATCATGATAGGATCTGATATCATGGCAGCCGTACTTCTTACCAATGAATGCAGAAGTTGAATGGCTATATTGCAAATACCAACAGTAAAAACGCTTCAGTATTATGGCCGTACTTACAGAATCGTGGAAAGTTTGGGTTGATACTTTGGTAACTATCAGCCACTTCTCAGAAAAGTGAAAATGACCCTCCAGTGTCATTTAATAGGAGGATTTTTTTACCTACACCAATCGTCATGTTCTCCAAATCTAAGCCAGTCATTCAACAGAGTTTAGAGAAGCAGTGTGTTAAACAATTATTACGATGAAGGAAAAAAAAACAGGTGTCTCACATCAAGCTACACTTCAAAGCATTTGTTGGCCTTTGAAGTCGTAGCGTGCCAGTACCTGACTGCTGCAGATAGACGCCAATCCCATTTGCGTACAATTCCTCCTGTTCGTACGTCCGCCGCTGAGCACATGGAAGAAGAAAAGAGAGAGCTACAAAACAAAAAATGTGTTAAGTGGATTCTTTGGTCGCCTGTAATCTCCCCGCTCTGTTGAAACGCCCGTGGAAGTCAGCAGTGAGGTCGGACAGTCACAATGTCCTTTTCAGCCGGCGATGAAAGAGTTTCGAGTCATTCCCTATTCTGCGTGGGCCTTTGTGCCCCCTTATCCACTTATTCAAATCAGTATAAACGGCAATGTGTCATATTAGCAGGCTCGGCAAAAGGACTAAAAAATGCTTTGATATGTATGAAAACAAAAGTGAAAAGACTGGCAGAGAGGGCAACGTGAGAACACAGGCCCGATACACTGATCCTCTCTGGGCCGCTTTGAGACGGCCCCGCTTTGGTAGAGGTTACAGACAAGCACAGTATATTTGTGTATGTGTGTATATATGTGTGTGTGTGTGTGTGTGTGTTTGTGTGTGTGAGAGTGTCTAGTGTGCACAGATGCAATGGATTTAAAAGTTATGTTGCATATAAAAAGCCTATCTGCAGTCCCTCTCCATACAGATAGAGGGAAAAGGATTGTGGGAGTATCAGTCAGCGGGGCTGGGGCCCAGATTGACACAGTGAACTTGAAGTCACTGAGTATGTGAGAAAAAAAGAGCGGGAGGCTCCAGGAGCGGCATCAGGAGGCTGAAGATGTCAGCACCATATCCATCATCCCTGTATATTAGTGTATGCAAGAACTATGAAGCATAATCGTTAATTAGCGAGGGCATGAACTCGCCTTGAAAGAATCCCTGAACATTCCAAGGTCTTCCCACCCTCCCTCCCGCTTTCATCCCCGGCCCCTCCCCTTCCCTTCCCCAGTGGCCCTATCTGTCCTTTTTAACACAAGTGAGGATAAACCGAGGCCCCTCTTCGCCCAGCCGCCCCGTTTTATCATTTGAAAAAACAAAAGAGGAGGGGAGAGAGAAAGGAAAGGGGAGAGGGTAGGGGGGAAAGGCCATTCAGAGTTCTGAGAATGTTGCTAAACAGGATTAGAATTGGTTAGAATAGGGGTAAACAGTAGCACGCTGCATGGGGGGCCAATAGGATGGGAGTTTGCTCGGAGGGGCTGGGTGGGGAAGACAATGGTTAGATTAGCCATCTGTGGGGCTTCTGGTGCCCGGCGTCATTAACCGGCTTAGGGCCCCACAGTAACACCAGACACCCTTTCCCCCCTATGCAGTAAGTATCAAGCCTGATAAAACGTGTGTGTGTGTGTGTGTGTGTGTGTGTGTGCGTATTTGCAGAGATTTGGGGGGTAAGATGTGACAGAGTGATGTCTGATGAAGCTGGTAATTGCATACACAAACACATGCACCCATACATAAGTACACTAACGTGGGTTGGTGCACATCTGCTTGCATACTTAGGCTCTTGCCAGCTCTCAGACAATTACACACACACACACACTAACACTCACACACAAATTTTGCATAACCTCCTCATGACACTAACATGCCCCCACCCCTGCACCCCTGTCCCAGTCCCAGAACAGAGGACCACAGTTTGACATTTGCTTTGTCTCCCTCTCTGTCTCCAGAGTAGATCCCTGCCATTTTGCATATCACTGCGCATCAGTTGGAGGAGACACATGACGAACACTGGGATCACATTCAAGTATTTAGCAAGTTGCAGAGAGGGTGTATAGTGGAGCGGAAAATCTGGTCTGTTCACAATAGGCATTGATGCTGGTTTATTCCCATACAGGGAAATCTGAGTACCAATTGCCTGCTGTGTCTCATTTTAGCCACATGGTGTATGTATCTTTAGTTTCATGTAATGCAGGTTTACACTGCTTTTGCCTGTTTTATGTATGTTGGCATACAGAGGGGAAATGCAAATGAATAACTGAACTCTCCGGCAAAATGGTGTTGAGATGAGCTCCTGCTTGTCTTCTGTTAGATGTCAAGGGTAATATTTTAACTCAACAGGGCATTGTACTCACCAGGATTATAAATCATTCAGGACTGCACAGCTAACCGCTCCCCATGTTGACTCATTAAGGCTTACCCCCCCATGTCAAGTGTTTACATAATACCCATGACATAAATGCATGGCTCACTGTATGAGGTGGAAATGCATGCAGTGCATAATAACTGCAGTGCAATAACAATGGTTACCTGGTATTGTCGGGTTAATCTATAAAGCTGAATGGTTGTTTGTGTCATCCTGTTATAGTCATCCTCTCCAGTCATCAGCTTTCTTTGATGGATTATGACTTTCTCTGTAACTATTTTAATTGGTCCCATTCTGTTTTCAAATAACATGAACATGGAAAGACTTAACGCCCAAGTTAAACAAACCTCATGCAATGGGAATTAAAACACTTTGATGAGTCTCAGTGACTATTTTGTTGACTAGCTGGGTTTGGTGAATGCACCTATACCAAACCCACCTGTCTGGGTTACTTTTTAAAACCCTGCTAACTCTGAATTTCTTCAAAAAGGTAGCTGTAATCTTTTTTTTTTTTATGTGACAGAGCAAAAAGCACCACATTTTGTCTTTGTTCCCTCTTCCAGAAACCAATCATATACACATTTGTCTTCTTTCCACCTCCTGGCAGCTGGTTTAGGACTGGAGCTACCTAATAAGGTCAAAGCTCGACCGTCATGTCTCTGTAGTCCCCCTTTATGTCAAGCAACAAGACACCTAGATGTCTGTCTCCTGCTTTGTCTGTGCCCGTGTTGGCCTACCCTGTAATCCTACCTTACATCTCAATGCTCAGCAGCGTTTGAAAGATAACCCACTTATCACGAGTAGACATTGTTTGATGAGTTTATGAGCATTTTGTGTACAAGGAGAAAAAAGAAAAGATTCTGGCCCTGAGAAACTTAGATTGTGTAATACAGGTTGAAC